CATCCGCCACCAGGCCCTTGAGTGAAGTCATGGACATGTCATAGGCCTTGACAATGAAAAATACCCAAATCTAATGAGAGCATTTGTTAAAAAAATGAAATATTTTTGGTTCTGGCTTCACAGTTAAAACCCGTCAAGGATGAAAGGGAGGAGGAGGTACATTTAGTCAGTGGACACAGTTGTATACTCTCAACCTAAGAGATGCAGGGAACTCATTCAAGAGTCAAAAAGCAGGCAATAAAGTCTGTAGGGCACCATACTGGGGGTAGGGAGAACGCCGCTTGGAAGTGGTCGTGTCTCTCAAAGCGTTAGCAGGAGGAACTTCTTAGTCTAAAACTTGTCCTTCCAACCTGTTAAGAGGATAGTTACCAGCCTCCTTCTAGTATCAGCAACTAACCAGTCAAAGCCACGGTGCAGACAGGACTTGTGCCAGGGTTGATCCCTCACTACCAAGAGTCAGCGGCCATCCGAAGAGCATGAGGAGCAGTCAGTCTCTCAGCTCATTCAATTTAGTTAGCTGGAAAGAGCACCTTCTGGTTCCCTCCAGTGTTCCCTCTAAGCTGAGTTAGGGTGAGCTAGCTCATGGTTTTTTAGCCTCCAGCTCAGGCATTTTTGTCTCCGCTCAAGAAGGAGGGCTCCAGAGCAAACTAATTTATGCAGTACCCAAAGTGCTCACTCACATCTCACTCACAGTTTGGTGTAGTGGTTAAGTGTGCGGACTCTAATCTGGGAGAACCGGGTTTGATTCCCCACTCCTCCACTTGCACCTGCTGATGTGACCTTGGGTCAGTCACAAGCTCTGGCACAGCTGTCCTTGAAAAAGAGCAGTTTGTGTCAGAGTTCTCTCAGCCCCACCCACCTCACAGGGTGTCTGTTGTGGGGAGGGGAAGGGAAAGGAGTTTGTAAGCCGCTCTGAGACTCCCAAGTGAAGGGCGGGGTATAAATCCAATCTCTTCTTCTTCTTCAGTAGCTCACAAAGTAGAATTCTTGCTCGCAAGACTCCACAGCTTAGAGGGAGCGTTGGTTCCCTCCCTTCCCCTAGCAGAATATGGTATGTTGTGAAAATAAGTGGGGCTGTTGATACACAATTGGCTCTTTAGAGTCTTTAACTCTTCAGGACAAATAGCACTGGATCACCTAACAGCAAAAGCAAGATTGTTTTTGCTGTTAGATGATTGAGGACAGTGGGTCCAGAAGGGTTGAGGACTCTAAAGAGCCAGTTGTGGGTCAACACTACAGCCCCGCTTATTTTCATGATGTGCGCTAGTCTCCCTCACCGCTAGGTACATCGGTGGCAGGCTGAAGTCTGCCCAAGTCAGTTGTGAGCTTTACAGCAGATCTGAGAGTCCCCCAGGCCATTAAGTGACTTCACACACAAGTCTGGCCACACGGAAGGCCTTTAGCTCTTATGAATCAGAGGCTGGGCATTCCAGCAACGAGGAGCGCAGAAGAGGAGGTGGACAGACAACACGTTTCCGGGCTCTGCAAAAATTCAGGTAGTTCCAACGTTGTGCTTTTGAGTACGTGCATTCTCCAACTTGTTTGTGACATGCTCACGTTGAAAACCAAACCACTAGAACCTCTGGGGCTGGGTTCACTGGAAGATTTCCATTTGCACTGGAGTCCTTGCACAAGCAGAAGAAAAACTCTGGCGGCTCAGTTGTACTAAGTCACATGCAGTCTACACCGAGCTGTTTTCTGCTTACGCAAGGAATCTTCTGCTATATTTTTGCATTACTTTTTTCTGAGAGTGTGTGTGCTTGCGTGCCATATTTTAAACCTGGCGCTTGTTTGGAACTGTCGAAACAGTCGCCGCCAGCTGCTGCCAAAAGCAGCTAGGTGGAGCAGTAGGTCTGGTCCAAGAGTAGAAACGCTTTTCGGCTTGCTTCTCCCTGGATCCCAAGCACTTTTGAAAGCCTTGCTTGCGATCAGCAGATAAGCAGATAGAATCTTAGCAGTAGCGACCAAGTGGGGCCTGTGGATTCTCGCATCGTGTAATCCAAGAGGGATCCTGACCTGGCACAGCCAGCTTTCGGGTGAGCAGACAGAAACTGTCAACGAGGCAGGCAAATGTGTTGACTGTGGATTGAGCATCTAAAAATCCCTTTTAACTCCCTCCCTTCCCCCATCAGTTCCCACAATTGTAAAACAGAGAACTGGAACCCATTTGACACAGAGATAAGCAACCAACCCTTGAAGAAAATGATGTGCCTTAAACCCACCCATGGCGTGGAAGCTTAAGTTTTACAACAGCACCACTGGCCCCGCTGTACAGTTTTTAACGAAAAAGCTCAACAATGAGAACAAGTCGTTTGCAGTTCTTCTTGCACTATTGTTTTGTACATTGTTCATTTTTACCCCTGCTTGAATAAGCGTTTTCTATCATGAAATGACCTTCTGGGGTTTTGGCTTCATAGTAAAACATGAACATTATTCCATTCACTGTACCTCTTTGCATGTGTAAGCAAAAATGATTTCAGTCTAGGTCATTGAATTGGATACTGTCTTTTTAACAGTATGTTGTCATTTTTCTATCCTTTTACTGCTAATTATATATATAGATATATTCTCCAGTTTTATTTTGTGCACAGATGTTAATATATTTATGTAATGTGATGTGTAAAAGTTATTCATAAATTCAATAGATAGTTTACCTTGGTGCAACGCTGTATAAAATTGCGAAGGGGTTTATAAAATCTTACAGATAATTATGATTATCAGAACATATGGTATACTTTTAAACTGTTATTTTTCATTTATTCTATAAAACAATTTTTTTTTTAGTTCTTAAAAAGGCCATTGATTGTAGAGGAAACCAATTCTTAAAAGACTGTCATTTAACAAGCCTTCACTTTATCAACATTTTTGCTAAGTGTTTGGTGGTGGGGGTGACGATTTGTATCAAATGCAGATTAAAATGGTTGTAAACTACCTACTGACTTCCTTGAATACAGACACTTAAATTGCTAACAATGAAAGAGGAACTGAGATCACCTGATCTAATTTGCTTGATTCTCAGTACCAGGAGAGCCAGTTTAGAGTCCGCGGTCCTAACCGCTACACCAATCTGGGAGAACCGGGTTTGATTCCCCACTCCTCCACATGCAGCTGCTGGTGTGACCTTGGGTCAGTTACAAGCTCTTTCACAGCTGTTCTCTCAGGAGCAGTTTCTCTCAGAGAGCTCTCTCAGCCCCACCTACCTTACAGGGTGTCTGTTGTGGGGAAGGGAAGGGAACGGCGATTGTAACCTGCTCTGAGACTCCTTCAGGTAAGGAAGGGTATAAATCCAATCTTCTATCTCCGAACATAATTTACACACATTTTATAAGAGAGTTTTAGGTTATAAAATTTTAACCCCTTACTGTTTTAAAAATGGAAATACTGTACTCCATTTAAAAACTACCCAAGAGCCAGTTTGGTGTAGTGGTTAAGTGCGCGGACTGTAATCTGGGAGAACCGGGTTTGATTCCCCACTCCTCCACTTGCACCTGCTGATGTGACCTTGGGTCAGTCACAAGCTCTGGCACAGCTGTCCTTGAAAGAGCAGTTTGTGTCAGAGTTCTCTCAGCCCCACCCACCTCACAGGGTGCCTGTTGTGGGGAGGGGAAGGGAAAGGAGTTTGTAAGCCGCTCTGAGACTCCTTTGGGTAGTGAAGGGCAGGGTATAAATCCAATCTCTTCTATCTTATTCAGCACTGAATCTACAGCCAAGAATGCAAGTAAATTGAGTTTATCAGCATTTCCAAAATCCACTGTTGAACATTCTTGTGTAGGTAAATGAAGGCTGGAGCAGAGAGACCTGTGCCAGCAAAGGAATCAGGAATAAGGGAGGGAGGGGCCAAGGAAGTCCGGAGGGAGGGAGGGGCACCCAGAGGAGGGAGCTGGTATTGGCCACCATTACCAGGTCCCACTGGAGAGGTGGAAGGAGACGCAAGGAAAGTCTGCTTGTAAATATGACCACCTAATATTTCATAGATCACAAAATAAGCTCTCACATACACTTTTGTCATCAAGGCTGCAGATCCTGTTTCATTATTGCATCTACTCTTGTTATTTAAGATCCAAGATGGCCAAATATTGCACCGGGGGAAAAAAACCCCTGAAAGCGTGCTACAGACAATAGAATATTCCACAGACTTCTGAAAGCAAAGGCATACTTGCTTTCCTGAACTAACACTGCAAGCACCAAGAAAGTGCTTTTTGAGTGCACGCGTAGTTGTACTTAGAGGAACACCTCCCTGCTGTGTTTGCATGCCTCTTTGGAGGGCAGGCAGTTCTGAGACATCAGGTATGGCAGAGACAGAGATGTGGCACAATTACCCACTAGAGGAGACTGACTGGGAAAAGGGAAGCCTGGAGTGTTAAATCACACAGAGACATGGGCAGCCTCCTGTCTGGGTGGGCATCCCTGAAGACTTCGTATCTATTTAGGTTCATGGCTCTCGTAGCCCAGTAGTGCGCCCTCACAGGGAGAGAGCAATTCATAAGCTGGCTTTGAGTAAAGCCACTGCAAGCAATGAGAAAGGGGTGTGAAATGTACAGAAGGCCAAGTTGCTGCACACCCATCCACCACCGTGGCGTTTCTTGCAGGCATTTCCTCCGCAAACATATACTCCCAAGAATCTCACATACGTCCAGTACACATTTGGGTTATAGTAAAAAGCCCAGCAGTACCTTGAAAACAGAAACTTTATTGTAGCGTAAGCTTTCGAGAAACATACCTCTCTTCGTCAGATGCAGAGAACTGTGTTTCTTGAAAGCTGCTGCTAGAATGAAGTTTTGTAGTCTTCAAGGTGCCCCTGGGCTTTTTACTATTTTGCAGCAACAGACTAACACACCTGACTCCTCTGGATCTGTGACATTTGGGATAAGAAGAGACTGCTGGAATTGTGCCCACTGGCTTCTACCACAATGACGGGACTAGTTTAAAGTTCTGTTTCTCAGTTTGTATGAAAACCAACCAGCCATTAATTCAGAATCAAAAAAGAATTTCACCCCACACACTTTATTTCATGCAAATACGACAAAGACCGGGCATTTCCACCGGCACCATCAGCTGGACCTCTGAGGCATTGTGGAAGTCAGCTGCATTTAAAGTACAACCTGGCTAGTATTTTTTAAAAGGCTGTTCTCACAGACTTCTCTTAAAAAGCCACACAAGAACATGTTTCTCAAAGATAGCTGTCCTGGTTTAAAACGTGCCATAGTTCATCTACATTTTGTATTCTGGTTCTGCTCAACCTTTATGAACATGAGTTACTACGCTTTTTTTACACAGACATTACAACAGTGGATCCACTGCAACCATTGTGAGTGTTTGTCATTCCACTGATTCTTGGTCCAGAAGCTTTGAGAGGTTCATACGAGTTTTTTCCAGAGCTGCCGTTTTTGCTCGGCGGGATAATCTTGCACCGGCCAGGGGGACAGGCTGTTCGCTGGCTTCCCTGCTAAAGAAAGACATCTGGAAGTCACAAATGCAAACGGGTCCCGTTCAACAGTTTTAAACTAGATGCTGCAGCCAAGAAGAGGGCTGGTTATTTTGGGCCCCCGGGGAACTCTGGCCTTCCTCCTCTGAGACTCAACATTTCCAAGTCAGGGGTGCCTCTCTGAGCTCCCTTTGCAGACTCCACCCTCTGGCCTTTCTTCCCTTCATCTAGATCAGAGGTGTCAAACTCATTCGTTATGAGGGCCAGATCTGACATACATGTCACCTTGTCAGGCCAGGCCAAGTGTGCCATAAAATCAGGTAACGGAGATATAAACTGTGTAAAGGACAGCAGCTGGTAAGCTCCCAAGTTGTTGTATCCTCACTGCAAGGCCCCCTGGGCTGGGGTGGAGGGGTGGGAGAGGAAAACCCGTATGGACAGACTGGAGAGCCAGTGTACAGCACTGGGCAGACGCTCCCACTTTGTCTGAGTGCTGCAGATGAAGTTGTTCCACCACGCTAAAGCCACAGTCGGAGTGGCTCCGCCCACTCCCCCCCCCCCAAACAGCTTCCTGTTCCCTTCCTTGCACTAGTTGCTTGCGGACAGCATAAGAGCCCTAGATGGGCTGGTTCCAGACCTTATGTTTGACACCCCTGGTCTAGACCATTCTCTCTCCAGACTGCTATGTCCCAGGAAGGGACGAGAGCAGCTCAACCAATGGCAACCAAAGATTCATGCAGCTGCCCAATCCCTCTGCAGCATTTTCAGACACCTCAGCCAATCACTGTGGCATGCTCCATGATCCCAGGGCTATGTCTGAAGCACTGAAATCAATTGTCTTCAGACACTCCTTGTACTAACAAGAAATTGGAGGAACTGGGGGGGGGGGGGCACTGTCTAGCTTGTATACTTGTATACTTCATCAGAAACAATGAAAAAGCAGCAAAGAGGGTTTTTAATAAAAACCAAGAGCTACGAAAACCATTGGAATAAGACATTTGCCACATACATTCAGAAAAATTTTGCTTCCTGCATACTTGCACGATCGGGGTCATTTCCTGCAGGAGCAGAGCTCTGACAGTAAAGAGCCCAGGGGGCGGTCACATGCAACAACCCCACCCTCTGCTCCCAGCAGCCCTCAGTCAGAGCAAGAAGCAGCCAGATAAGTTGCAGAGCCCCCCCCCGGCCCCCCAGTCCAAAACAGTCCAGTGGCACCTTTAAGACCTAGTTTTATTCAGGTACAAGTTCTCCCTCCTCTGCGAGGGCAGATCTGCATGTCGTCCCCCCCCCCCAAATAGCTAGCAATCCAAAACAGTCCAGTGGAGCCTGAGCGGTGGGTGTTGCCTTCTGATACACTTCCGGTGATGTCAGGGGGTGTGGCACATGCAAATAAGTTATGCTAATGAGTTGTGCTAATGAGCTCCTGCACCTCTTTTTCTATGAAATGACCCCTGTGCACGATCATTGTCACAACACAACACAACACAACACAACACAATGAGATACAGATGTCCTATGTATAGTGGAGTAGGAGAGCTAAGATGGCTTGCTTCATCAAAAGACTGAGATCTGAAGTGTGGATACCGCCTGTTCATAAAAATATATTTACCTTTCACTTTCAGGCCTTACAATTCTACAGTTTCGTCTTCTGGGCATAGACTTTGCTTCCACTGTCTCTTTTCTCGGACCTAGAAATTGCAAATGAAAGATTTTTCTGGGCCCCATTAAGGCTCTGCTAAATTACAGACTCCAAAATTCTGTTGGTGTTTTGATGGAGCTTATTTAATGAGCCCACCCCAACTCTGCCCTTGCATCTTGTGCCCTAACGTTACCCTTCCACCACCACTAAAGGCAGACGAGCCAAAAGGTCGAAAATGCACCGACCTATTAGTGACTGGTAGATCTGGAGCCAAAACTAACAGACATCCAAGAAGCAGAGGCTTATAAAATGGCACATCCTTCCCTTCAAATAGAGCAGCATTTGTGCCCAAAATTGAAATGAATGCTGAATCTTCTCTAATTGAAATTAATGCTGAAATCTTCTCAAATTCACAACATCTAATGTCCAAAATGTGAATATGCATATGCCAACATCTGGGACACAATAATAATGCATTTTTTTTTTAGATTTACATCCCTTCCCATTACGAGAGCTCAGGGCAGCTAACGGCATATGGGACTCCCGGGAGGGGGACAAATAGGTCCAGGGGGAGAGAAATGGCGGGGGAGGTAACACCCCAGTTACAGACCTTTTATATAGCCAAACACCACCAAAAAAACCCCATTCACATAGAAAATAAATTCACGGGTGTAATATCAGAAATTCGGCAAGTTCCAGAGTCTTTTCCCTTCCCTTTCCTAGTGCAGTCTTCTCCCGCAAGGAGAGAGTGGGGTGCAGCTAAAGGGGGAATGGACAGAAATCCCACCCCGGTGTCAGCTTTTGCCCCGTTAGCAGCGCTCGCTCTGCTCACACCAGAGGGTTGGGGCAGGCATGATTTCTGCAGATCCTCTATTTTGTTATGTCTCCCACTCCTCTCTACAGACCCCACCCAGCCAATGCTCCAGAACAGCTTTCGGAGAGGCAAGGGGACTAGGGGTCTGCAAAAATAAATAAATAAAAAACACCCCGGTATTTTTCAGATTCAGGTATATTGAACTTGAAAAATATTGGTATTTCCTGATATACCCAAATCCCAATACCGGTATGGGGGCGGGGCCACGGTCATCCGAGGGAAAACTCTATGGTGTGGTCGCGTCACTTCCAGGTGATGTGGTTCCGGCACGCACGTGCACTCCCAGAGCACCGCTGGAGTCCCCCGCTCCAGCGCCGCTCGGACTTGGGAACCCTAGTTATACCCTATGGGGACCAATATAGTCAATGCTCCCCATAGGGTATAATGGAGAACTGATCCAGGGGTATCTCGGGCTCGGGGTGGGTGGGTGTTTTTTGAGGTACAGGCACCAAACTTGCAGCATAGCTGCTGAAGCCACTCCTCAAACCCCCCACAAGTTTAAAAATAAGATTGGACCAGGGGATCCAGTTCTATGGGCCCCAGAAGAAGGTGCTCCCATCCTCCATTGTTTCCAATAGAGGGATAAAAAAGCATTTAAAAGGATTGTGGTCCTTGCAGGGACTGCAAACCCTTTAAACACCTTCGGAGTTCACTCGCTGCAGAGTTGTGTGGCTTGGAAAAGGCATTTAAAGGGACCACAATCCCTTTAAATGCCGTTTTAAGTTTGGCTATCTGGTGGGCTCGAAAACCCCAAATATTTTCGGGTCTTGGCCATTTCGGATAGCCAAATGTAGCCCCAATTTAAAACTGGCTTTAAAACCCCCCAGAAAATATTGGTAAAGTATTTTTTGGGTATTTTTCCAGCTCAGTTTATGCTGAATGCACACCCTTAATGGGGACCTGATCTTGCAGACCGACATTCTCTGCATTCCTCCCCCCTCCCAAAAAAAAGGCCTCAGTTGTCCTCTATCCTGATCAATCCAAAGCAGTATGTGGGGATTCCAGGGGTTAAAAATTCCTGCAAGGGTCAGATTACAATGAAGTCAAAGTTAAGACTTCAGTGGCACCGACATTCCCATGGGGAGAGAGAGAACTGTTTTAGACAAGTAAGAACTACTGCAGTGCTCTCAACACAGAAACAAGGACATATTTGCTTCAGTGAATGTTTAAGTTTTAGGAACCAGAGGAACAGCACAATCTTGCAGGAGTTAACCCTTCACATAAAAGGCAAGAGGGGAAAACATTTCAGTGTGGAGGTGCGCTCTGTTCCGCTGGTACCTTTGCTTCTTGTTGATCTCAGCTTCACAGTTGTGCTCCCTCCCTCTTCACTAGCTTCAGCTGTTTCTTTTTCTCCTGTTTCAGACAGAAAACGCCATCAAGATACTAAAAACAGAGATGCTCAGCACCTGAGCTATGCAAGGCAGGCTTGCTCCAAGATAGGCCCTTTCGATGAATATATGCTTCAGAGCACTTGGGCCACATCCTTCCTTTACAACTTGGGCAGCATCCTTCCTGAGCTAAGCAGAAAGCCTTCTGGGAAATGCATTTCTATTATTTTAGCTAAGCTGCATCACCAGAAGATGGTTTGTTTTAATAATTCAGGAGAAAATTTACAGATCACCTCTGAACGGTTACTCCTCTCTCTCTGCTGGATTTCAAATAAACTCTAAGGTGAAGGATGTAGGAATGACTACCAAGGGATCAGCCATGTTCAAGGGGTACCTGGCAACAGGGCTCCAAAATAGAAGGCTCTTCTGGCTTGTGGGCCGGCCACTTCAGAGGGGGCCAGCTGGCACCAGCCCCAGATCACGGGGGGGCTGTAAGAAAAGCGGAGCACCTGGCTACCTACTGAAACTTTCCTCCAAGACTGCCCTCTAAAGATGCACATATTTGTTGACTTTGTAGCTCTTCTGCATCCCCCAAATGCTAGCTGAAAACTGGAAGACAAACTTGTCAGCCTTCGCAGTAGCCAGCCTAAAGTGATCGCCTCGTCCTTCCTCCTTCCATCCCTACTACTGCCACGGTCCTCGCTGTAGACACAGCCTGAACTGCAATCCCAGTTTGTTTGCTTGCTCTTTAAGACGTCAGAAAATCTGTCGGCCGTTTGTAAACATCGACTCCCCCCCCGCTGGACTTCTAATGAATTGTAAGGTGAAGGAACCCGGAATGGCAGCAGAGGGGTCTGCCCCGGGCCTTGGCAAGACCTTTTCATCCCGTCCATTCGTCTCTGGATCCAGATCCCAGGCTGAGCGAAAAACAGACACTTGCAGCAGTTCCCAGCCTTTCCCAGCCTGGGGGCACCTCTGGGAGCCGGACACAGGGTGGGGCGGTGCACCCACAAAATGGCTGCCGCGGGAGGCGGAGCCACCCACAAACAAGAAAAATCAAGAGCAGGGAAGAAGAGGGCTAAATTTTAAAAACATACTGGGGAAGGGGAGAGAGAGAGAGAGAAAGAGAGAATACAACCGGCATCATGGTGGCAGCTGCTGCCAAACCAGCAGTTTAATCTGTGCAGCCAATCAGATCTCTGTCAATCAATCAGAACCTTTATTGGCATATCAACAAAACAAACACCAGCAGCAGGGAGACAAGGATATGTCCTTTACCCCTGCATCTGAAACAATCTTCTCCTCTTAGAGGTACAACAGAGAAATTTAGCTACAGATTCAATGATCTCAGAATTATCGGAAGATAATAATGAAACGATCTTATAGCCATCAGATTGCCCTATTTGGCTCTCATAAAGAGGTTCTAGAAAAACATCACGAATATCAAAGTAAAAGGAACAATGCAGGAGAACACGCTCGATACTTCCACTCTCCCCCAAGCCAGAGGCACAATCAGATCTCTAATGGCCAATCAGAAGCCCTGCTGGCCCCACCACCTTCTAAAAGCACTTGGCAGCCCCAGGTGTCCACAGGCACCATCTTGGGACCCCAGTTACAGGTAAGCAACCTGCAGTTGTTTAGATTTGACATCTGTGCTGAAGATAGGTTCATAGTAGATTCTCTCTTTCTCTCACACACATGGACTCTTCAAGGACTATTACCCACATTACCTTCATCTTGATTAATGGGATTAGGCATTGCTCCGTCACTCTCTTGTTGCTTGTCTTGAGTTACTGGAGATGAGCCAGTCTCTTTGGATATTTCAGAGACTTCTCCACTGATGGGGCTTCCTTTATTTAAGCTGCTCTTCACTTTTTCAATAATCTTTAGGCATGTTTTATCCTTCACAACCTGACACAAATATTAATAATGTGCAGAAGTGTAAATTAATTGTTTAGGGGTCTACAAGAGACACACATCAATACCTGCCACGCACCTTTCCCTCCGTCATCTCAGACATACATGGGAGTTTTAGTTAATTGCAGGCTTATACACAATGAAAAAGGAATACATTATTCTGTAACAGTGAAAAAGGAATACTTTATTCCATATTAGTTGCCAAAAATTAGATCAAGAGCAGATTTGATATACAGAGTTGACTGAACATGGTAAAATGTCATCTCAAACTAAAATGTCCCTTAATTCTACAGGCTTCTTAGAATTAAAATACAAATAAAGGTTGTCAACAAACTGCATTCTCCAAAAATGAAACCGCAGAAGGGGAGTTCATTTCTTACAGGAACAGGTGAGGCTACCCCTTCGGCAAGGCCAGGCTTCCACCCAAGGGCTCCTTCCCGATTTTGCACCCTGGAAAGCAAACCCGTCACCTCACAGCGTCTGGGAGATCCTGTGCTCAGAGTGACCGGGGCTCTCCGGGACCGCACCCCATCGAGGGAAACCAGCTTCCAGGCAGGGCTTGGCCATCCCCCAGAATCACAGCTCATCTCCAGACTGCAGAGACCAGTCGCCCTGGAGAGCAGGGATGCTTTGGAGGGGGGACTCCGGGGCACTGCTCCCCACTGAGGTCCCCCTGGCTCCACCCCCAAATCTCCAGGAGTTTCCCAGTCGGGAGCTGGCCACCCCGACTGTCCCCTTCCTCTGCCAGTTGCCGGGAGGGGGGGGGTCTAGCAACCCTCACCCCATCCTACCTCGGGGACAACTTGAAGGGTCAAGTAGAGAGCCCACTGGTCAGGGATGCTCTCGGCTGATCCTGCATTGAGCTGGGGGGGGGGATTTGTGCCGGATGGCCTGTATGGCCCCTTCCCACTCTGGGATTCTATGATTCACAGGCCCACAAGGTCTCCTTTCCGGGATGCCTGGCCAAGATTGTACGTCCAGCTTTTATCCTGGCAACATATACCACCGGTCTTTGCTAGCAGCGATTACGGCACTCCCTTTCCCCCTCTGCTTCTATCCACAGCTTTGCTAAGCTTCCCCCACCCCAACCATTCTGTGTGTGTTTTTGGCGCAAGCAGCCCCATGGCTCCATTCACACACCTTTCCTCCCTGCTTTTCCAGGACAAGGCTATACAAGGAACTGGTCTTCCTTGTTCTCACGTTCCTCCTCTTCCCCTTCCTCCAGAAACTGCAGTTAATTTGCAATTCAAGAATTACACGTAGGCTGGATGTAGGTGTGATGTGGTCCATGGGGTCGCAGAGAGTCGGACTCGACTGTGTGACTGAACAACAAGGATATGACAACCGCCAAAGGCCAGTATTCAAGGGGAGTTCAGAAAGACAAACCTTGGGGAAATTTTATAGGGACAAAGAATTCTACACACTCCAGTTATGGTTTGTTTAAATTCTCTTTTTAGTTAATATTTAAGCATCACTCTAGTTGCTCACATTTCTTCTCAGTATCAAATTCATGTTTTTCACATAAATGTGTTTCAAAAGTGCAGAAAAATCATACCATCTGGTTTTCACATACCTCAAGAACCTCATCAAGCAGAATCAGGAGGTCTCTGGAGAAATCTTTATTTAATTCCAGGGAACTCAAAACTTTGGTATAGATACGGACATCTGGTGCACTTGGATCCGCCAAGATTTCATTGCAGACTTTCATCGCTAAGCTATCGTGCACTGTTAAGCCCTGGGAGGGGAAAGCCACCACAACACTGTGATATTTGGCTGCACATCCCCTTCAAAGGAAAAACTAAACTACGTGGCTAATAGTAACAACTCTTTCCACCCTGCATGCCTCTAAGCACACTACAGTTAATCCAGTGGAGCTAGGGGTCGCTTACCTCCGGGAAGTGGCTGGAGGTCTCTTGAGATGACAATTGCCCGGAGAAAATGACTCCTTAAGAAGGTGGGCTCTATGGCATTCTACCCCACTGAAGCCCCTCCCTTCACCAAACCCCACCCACCTCAGGCTCCACCCCCCCAAATCTCACGGTATTTCCCAACCCAGGACTGGTAACCCAAGCTGGAATCCACCTTTGGTGTTATGCATGCAAAAACCATAAAACAGCGGCCACTAAGGTAAAATTGGAGTTATGTTACTTTTCGTGCAAGCACATTAACATGATGCACACAGACACGCATCATTATAAGTCCAAACAAATTTGTGGTCACGAGGAATGTCCCCAGACCCACTTCCTGATGCAGAGCAGAGGTTTTCAGACTGCCTTCTGGTTGCTTCCTCCAAACCTTTTTCGGTGAGGAGAGCAGGAATAATGGCTTGGCAGAACAGTGGGCATTGGCCACAGTCAAGAAACGGCTCCTCAATCCCAACTCCAAGCCAGACGGTACCCCTGAAATGTGCATCCGCCTACCTGGAAATCCTGGGAAGCCTTTGTGCTTTGATTCAGTCCGCTCGGTCTTGTCAAGTCCACAAACAGCTCGGAGACGTTACTTGCATCCACTTCAGACAAGGGTGACGATGCAGGAGCATTGAACAAGATTTGCAACGTTGGAAGATAAGCTTCCTCAAAGCATTCCTGATTGGCCCTGGATTTTTTTAGATTTGGGAAACAAAGTGTTACTATAATGTGCTAAAGGTAAAGGTTCCCTTGCTCGAAAGCCAGTCGAGTCGGTCTCTAGGGTTGTGGTGCTCATCTCCGTTTCAAAGCTGAAGAGCCAGTGCTGTCCGAAGACGTTTCCGCAGTCATGTGGCCGGCATGACTAAACACCAAGGCACACGGAACGCTGTTACCTTCCCACCTATTTATCTACTTGCAATTTCTTGCTTTCGAACTGCTAGGTTGGCAGGAGCTGGAACTAGAAACGGGAGCTCACTCCGTCCTGCGGCACACTCGGGTCTCGAACTGCTGAACTACCCCCCTTCCACAGCCTGCAGTTCAGCGTCTTAACCACTTGAGCCACCGCAGCTCCCTCTATAATGTGTTACAGGTCTACTAAAAGGTGCCCATATCCTTTAAATCCAGTGTTCCAAAAAGTATTAACAGATTGGTATATGGGTTGACTTCTGGCGACCCTGTGAATTAATGTCCTCCCAAAGGTCCTCCCGTTAACAGCCTTGCTCAGGCCTTGCAGACGGAGGGCCCTCGTGGCTTCCTTGATGGAGTCCATCCGTCTCCTGTCGGGCCTCCCTCTTCTCCTGCTGCCTTCTGCTTTTCCTAGCATGACTGTCTTTCCCAGTGACTCTGCTCTTCGCATAACGTGACCAAAGTACAATAGCCTCAGCTCAGTCATTTTAACTTCTAGGGAGAGTTCAGGTCTGATTTCATTTACATGCAGCCAAATTCAAAAAGAACCTTTACACCGCAGCAACAGACAGAAAGAGAAAGAGCCAGTTGCAGACCAGGACTGAGGCCACACTCCTCCACTTGCACCTGGCTGATGACCTTGGGCAAGCCGTAGTTCTGATAAGAGCTGTCCTTGAAAAAGAGCCACTTCTGTCAGAGCTCCCTCAGCCCCACGCACCTCGCAGGGTGTCTGTTGTGGGGAGGGGGAGAGAAAGGAGTTTGTAAGCCGCTCTGAGACTGCAAGTGAAGGGCCATGGGGTATGAATCCAATCTCCTCTCTCTTCTTCTTTTCTTATTTGCATTGTAAGCCAAGGCCTTGGCTTGGATGGCCCCGGCTAGCCCAGTCTCATCAGATCTCCCAAGCGAAGCAGGGTTGGCCGTGGCCAGTAATCGGAGGGGAGACCTTCAAGGAAGACCAGGGCCGTGATGTGGAGGCAGGCCATGGGAAACGGCCTCTGAAAACCCTACAGGGTTGCCAGAAGTCAGCTGTGACTGGTGGCAGAAAACCACAAAACCCTGCCCTTGAGTTCCGATAAAGTAGAAGGCCACTAATAACTGTTTTAAGTAGATTAATACGTTCTATTTCTGCTGAACTGTGCTTGGGGTACGTTACCGTTCATACTATGTGGAATGTAGAGAAGGAAGCAAGAGCCATACCTATTTGAATAAGCAAACGAAGGGAAGAAAACGCCCAAGCAGTGCCGGAGATGAGTGTCTTCTTCAGTTACGGGATTATACCACAACAGAACAAGTCGAGACAGGAGTTTGGCGCTGATCAGTCGCCCAGAGAACATAAGCTTGGCCAGGCCCTCAGCAGCCTCGGTCCTGAGTTCGGAAACCTGGAGAAGAGTTGTCAGAGGGGCATGGATCCCCAGGCTGAGCAGCGACACGTCCCATTTCTACCCCATAAAGGGTCCCACTCAACAATACTTCAGCAACGACCCATGCACATCCTTTCTGGGCTGTGTACCCCCCCCCCCACTCCTGCTACAGCTGGAGCTTAAGGAATGGAAGACAGTGCATTGGCCTCTCTGCCATGGCATTCCCTTTTCTCACTGCCATGGGCTGCCCCACACAGCATGTATGGGTCGGCAGGCAGAAATCAACTTCCCAGAGAAAAGAAAAGTCTGCTGGCTTCTTCCATCTCTTTCCTGCTCCCCCTCCCCTCCCCCATGGTCGCTCACAATGACCAAGGGCACAACAGCTCTTTTATGGAGTGAAGGGGCTCTTCCGTATTCTAATTTCCGTTGCTTGTGTGTCCTTATTGCTTAATTTCTCTTTTCTTTTCTGCACGTTTCGATCCTTCTAGTGGTGATTTTGACATTGCATGGCTGTATGTCCAGCATAAAGACCTGCCATTTAAATCTGCCGGGAGATATGTCGGACATGCAGCAATATAATATGGAAGTGACCACTAGAGAGAGCAAAACATGTGTTGGAATGTCCCCCTGAAGAGACAGGGACACACAAGCAGTGACAGTGAGGACATGGAAGAACCTGACATAAACAAAAGAGATTGCTTTCCTTAAATATTTAGATGAGACACCTTTTAATTCCCCAAACGCTTTAATTAAAAGTGTTATGGAAATTGAAAGACCTCCTTTGGGGACACAAACATGTTTTCCCCCCACACCAAACCCCACTGAGGTCAGGCCAGAAAAAATCAACAAAATAAGCACAGTAGCAGCTCTCTACTCAAACACAGAAGCAGCATTTTGAAGCTGCATTAATCGGCAGAGGGGCATGAAACTGCCTTGTACTGGATCAGACCTTCTGGGTCCACCATAATCAATCTTGTCTACTCAGCCTGGCAGCAGCTCTCCAAGGTCTCAGGCAGAGGTCTTTCACGGCCAGATAGTTTAAGTGGAGGTACCAGGGATTGAACCTGGGACTTCCTGCATGCCAAGCAGATGCTCTACCACTGAGGCACACCCCTTCCCCTTAACTGCTTAAGGATTTTCTCCATCTAGACAACCTTTTCTAAAAAGATTAAGCCAAAACTGCATCTTATTCATTCTCCAAACTCACACCCCCTATAAGCATGTTTGCTGGCATGCATCCTTTTACCTCGCTGTCTAAGAACCCTGAAAGAAGCTGAAGGAGGTTGTGGGTGGTAGCCATCTCTTCTTCTTCAGTTTCCTTGGTCGCCTCTGCGGACAGGCCATTTTCATCCTCCTCATTTCCACTGTGGGAATGGCCGCCTTTGTTGGCTTTGAAGGGTTCTATCCCAAACATCATCAGCTGGTCAAAGATGGCCTTTAAAGCACTTAGCTTGACCTTCATTTCATCAATCTGCAATATCTAGATGATGTTTTAGATAAACGACAACAAAGGTCTTATTTCCAGGGCAGCATAAACAAACAACAGCACTAATACACAAAACCCAGACCCCCATACCACAAAGCCCCAGACCCAGAGAGCAACAAGGCAGACGCAAGGCTCCACCAAGGGGGCATGGCTGCTGAAAGATCCCATCTCTGGCTGCCGTCCCGCCTTACCTTCATGGGGGGCAGGGGTGGGGGTGGGGTGCTCTCAGGGCAGGGCTCGAAACGAAGTTCTTTACCGGTGGGCAGGAGGACAGCAGTCCTTTGGGACTCCTCAGACCCCTGTTAAACTGTCTGCTGGTCATGCTGCCCTTAAACCCCCCCCCACCCCTCGATCTGTCCTGAAGATATAAGCCTGGCTTTTATTCTGCACAGTTCTCTGTTCCAAAAGTCATCAGAAATCAGGAATGGAAGTGTAACAGCCTTCACCGCGAAATCCCCAAGTGGCCCCAAATAAGGCAAGGCTCCGGTTTTACTTGGTACTCTAGGCTCTCTTGCTCTCTCGCCCGTCAAAGTGCTGGCAACCCAAGACAGGAAAAAAAGATAGAAAGCAGGAAGAAAAGGAAGCCTCTTTAGTAACGAGCATCTTGTCCAAAACTGGTGTGTGCATTGTTTGGCAGCTGAAACGATCGGACGAGGTCTGTTCTCTGCAGAAGAGAGCTTCCCGTTTATGTCCCTGAAGGGACTGGGATTCCATGACCAAGATTCACCCCCTGCCCGGGGGGAGGGGGGAGAGCCCAAAGCACAACCAGACACAAGGAACAAGGAGATATTTCCTCTGGGGAGCAGCCTCATACCTGCCTCCTGGGGGAACACCCTACAAGAGTCCCCCCGCTCCAAGCACCTTGTCAGATCTGGTAGGGTGGGGGCTGCTACTGGAAAACAGAAGTCCCCTGGGCCTTGGGATAGAATTCCGACCCCAGCAATGACATGGGATAGAAACAGAAGACATGGTTCATGGATAACAGCATGTGAGCGTCTCAGAAATTCAAGGGCCTGGATGGAAGTACGGACTGGGGACAGACAGAGTGACACACACCCCAGTCACGTCCCCTTACCCCGCAGCAAAGGAATCGTTAGCAGAAATTGCTTGGGGCACTTGGCTCTGCTCCCCTCACTGCTCTCCCTCTTGCAGAAACAGGCACTGAAATGGAAAGGCCCAATGGCCCAGTCCGATTTTACCCATGCGAGCACTAAGTAATGATACGCGGAACTCTGCAAAGTCCACCCCTCCAGGTCGTGAGTTCCTCGGAGCCCCCGCCGGCATAGCCCCGAAGCGGCTCCCACTTCCAGGGAAGTGTCCTTCGGATTTGGCATGGTGACTAAGCCCTCACCTGAACAGACCACAGTAGGCCGACTCCGGATTGCCTTTGGAGTCTTGCATTACGGAGGCAACGCCCCAGTTTTGCTGGAAGAGCAGCACCAACCCGACTCAGCTCAATGCCACACAAGGAAGCATCAAGAACCCGGTCCAGAATCTGTGCTTTTCCTGTACCAGAGCCGGATGGTCACAGGGAAGCCCAAGTTGTCGACACGGAGTGGGATTTTCCACAACAGGTTCCCGCATTAACATTCCCCCTTCCCATAAAAAGCAGTGCGAGTCAAGTGCCCCCATGACTTCCGTGAGTAACAAAAACCTGCTAATTCAAGAGTGGTAATGTCAATAAGGCCCCAATGTAGACATCGTTACCTGCAGTAGCAAGGGAAGGTGCTGGCTGGCTAAGTCTTTGCTCTGCAGACCACAGGAGCCCAGACACAAAACGGCCATATTTCTTACAGCTGGATGGATGTTCATAATTCCTGGAATTATCTGAAGTGGCAAGCACATAAGACATTGACAGAAGCCATGTTTCAAGCCGTGGGCGGGCCTTTACCTAGGACTGCACTTTTGATTCTTACCATTCAAGTTACTCTAGACCGGGGGGGTCCCCCACTGGGTGGCCGTGGGTACCATGGTGCCCACCAACACCTCTTCCTGGTACCCGCCAAATGTTCTAGAATGTGGGAGGGGCCAGCTGGGGCTTTTGCCCAGCCAGACTTCTGAGTGGCTGTGCTTTGGCAGCCGCTGCCCCCGCAGCACAAGGAGCTCCACGATGTGACTGAAGGGAAGCTGCAGCGGCCACCTTGTGGCCAGCCGTGCCTCCTGTGACAGTGGTTTTGTGGCTGCGCCCACCAGGCTTTACCAAAATCCCAAAGGTGCTTGCAGGCTCAAAAAGTTATCTATTTTATTTGTCTTGGCCGAGGCCAGCTCAGGGCGGCTTACACGGAGTAAAACATATAAATCACAATTAAAACAGTTTTAAAACCGACTAAAACCATCAAATAGAATAAAGTGCTAATAATCATATATTGTTTAGCGGTGGCAGTTGTTATTCCATGGTCCCTTCTCGCAGTCGGTGCGCAGGTCTTTCCTTCTGGCGGCTGGCACAGACAGCTGTTGTTGGCGACTCGAGGGGGCAGGGCTCTCTGGCTTCAGCTGTTAAAGGTCCGGGGTCCCTGTTCTAGACTAAACCAACAGGAATCAAGGGGCTTGGACCAGGGGACTCTACACAGGATGGCATTGTAAATGGCCACGTGGGAAAACAGCTGATTTTTCTCTCCACCTCCCCAACTTTCAAGTCTGTCAGGGTGCCCCAAACTGTGTGACACATCCTGGGAAAAACAAACTGGTCAACGTTTTCGTGGGCTAACAATTCCTGTTGACATATTTACAAAGATAGAACAACTGTCGGCATGCTTGCGGAGTAAAGTGGTAAATGAATTGTGGTATTAAATTCTTGCAAGCCAAATCAAATTCAAATTCAAGCCAAATTCAGCCTCCCACAGATCAGTGCTCAACAAGTAATGCCTAGCAATCCTTCTGTGAGGGCCAGAATGTGGGGCCGCTTGATACTGCAAGCATGAGCTGCCTTCTTATAGAAAGAGTCTCTCTTTCTGGTGGACCCTTCTGTTTCTGTACACGAAGAAGAAGAAGGGATTGGATTTATACTCCGCCCTTCACCTGGAGTCTCAGAGGGGCTTACAATCTCATTTCCCTTCCCCTCCTCACAACAGACACCCTGTGAGGTAGGTGGGGCTGAGAGAACTCTTGACAAAAACTGCCCTTTCAAGGACTGCTCTGAAAGAACTTGTGACTGACCCAAGGTCACACCAGCCGCTGCATGCACAGACTGACAGAGACCAGAAACAAGACACAGACCCAAGGATAACCACCTAAGGGAATATTTGAGCCCACAAGCATTATCTGCTCACAATACATCTTTTGAACTCTGACGCAGGTCACACACTCTTGTGTTTGTTGCCACATACCAAAGATTCGATTATCCCATCCATGGTTGGGCCTAATCCTTTGGAAAGGGAGAGCTGTTTGAGGAGTTCGTTGCACATCGTCAGGCATTTCAGCAGCGTTTCAGGATCGTCCTTTGGAAGCATAAATGAGCTTATCAAGAAGGGAGACAAGCACCGTCTGATCTCCTTCACGCCTCCTCCAAGCAAAACTATAATGACGCTGCCTCCCACATACACACACGTACTGAATATTTCACAGATACCCCCATGTTTGTACATGAAATCACTGCAACATGGCAAAAGATAAGTGGCAGAACCTTTTCCACGGAGACTTCTTTAGTCTGAGGCTCCTCTGACTCTTTTAACAGGTCGCTTTTGGTGCTTTCCAACTCCAGGATTCTCTGCTTCAACAACGATGCCTGGCTAAAGTCCTGCGCACCCACACTCTGCTCTAGTGCATCTTTTGCTTCCATCAGTTTCACTTTTATTTCCGCCAACTGGAAGGAGAAGTAGACATGAGACCACAAATTCACTGAATGCACTTGCTTCTGAAAGAGATCCAGAGACACTCAGGGCTCCGAACTGTTATATTAAACAGATGGGGCCCCTCCACTTACTTTGAGTTGTTGCTTTCTTATTGCGGCTGCATCTACAGGCTGGTCGACTGTAACGAGCGCTTCACGAACCTCTGAAATGGTCTCCGCAACCTAGTAAAGTAGACCAAGCTAAGACGGAGCCACGAGAGAGAAGCCGCCACCCTCACCCTCTTCTCAGGCACTGCGGGGGGGGGGGGGGTCCCCTGCTTTGCAGGGGGGGGCTCCTCCTCCACGCAGCTCTCCACAGAAAGCACCAGACCGAGCAGCAGCCGACTGAACCTTCCACCCACCCCGGGAAGCTTTTGGAAGTCTCTTAGCGACCCTAAAAGCCTTCCATGTAAAAAAAACCAGTGAGAAGTCACTATAACACTAGATCAAGTAGAGTGGATACTAAGATACTATGCAGTGATGGGGGGGGGGCTTCATTAAGATGCAACAATCAAAGCCAAACTTCTGAAATACAAGGCAAACTTTGGGAAAAGTCACTTCAAAAATTAAAAGTGGCCTTGTCACACAAAGACACTGTATTTTAAACACTGGGGAATGGGTTCCTCTATATTCTTCAACATACACACACATGGAACTAAACAAAGGTGTCATGACCCTGGGCCTACTGGTGCAGCCTATGGGCTCTGGTGCGGCCTAGTGGCTCCAGGGAAGCCTGCATAGGAGTAGGCATCAGGGCCTACATTTCCCAGGCTCCCCCTGAACCCTGTGATTGGGTAACAGGAGATTTTGGAGGGAAATCTACATCAGCAGGGGAGCTCCCAGAGTGGGAGGGGTTTTTCTCTCCCAGGGAGCAGGGCTGGTGGAAGCTGCTGCAGACAGAGGAGGGATCCCTCATCCAAGGAGGGGGTGAGTGAGGCTGAGAACAAGCACCTAGGGAAGGGGAGGACTGTGTAGACAGGCTCCTTAGGATGGGGGGGGGGGGGGGGCGAACTCATTTGTTATGAGGGCCGGATCGGACATAAATGAGACCTTCTTGGGCTGAGCCGTGTGTGTCATAAAACGTAATGCCAGGTAGTGGAGATAGAAACTTTATAAAGGGCAAAAGGACAAAGATTTTCCTTTTACTTAAAATAAAAACAGGCTTAAGACATTAGCTCTGTAAGCTGCAAAGCTACTTTTGATTTACTGACATTCACCACAGAAATCTCCTGCTCAGAGTTCTAAGTCTAGGACCGGGTCTAAAACATGAAATGGCTGAGTGATTAAGAGAGTCTGGGGAAGCAAGCTGTGGTGTAGCAGCAGCAGCAGAACTGGAAGCGGGAGATGGGCCACTTCCACTGCGGACCTGACGGAAGCCCTCTTGGGGGGGGGGGGGTCTGATCCGGCCCCCAGGCCACGTGTTTGACACCCCTGCCTTAGTATGTATTATTTTACTGATTCACCTGCCTTTACTTTGCTCATTTTCCCTACTTGTTGTTAATCTACAGTTGTTGTTAAATAAAGCTATTTGTTACTCTGCCTGAGTCCTCACGCCTCATTTGGTCATGTACAAGGGGAAACCTGTTGTGAGAGTCCTGTGACAAGGAGTCGGGTGGGTGCCCTGGGCCCTCCTGAGGAGACCCCAGACCAGAGTGGTGGCAGCCAGGAGTGAACCTTCCTAGCTGCCGCTCGCAACAAAAGGGTATTGAGATTTTTTTTTGTATGTTGCAAGGAAAATGCTTAATGCTAGCAAATGCCATGCACATGAAAGAGAGAAACCAAAACGGAACCGATGTACTAATGCAACTGCTTACGATCTGTATTCTTCGATCATCGTCTTTCAGAATACTGAGCAGTTTCTCCGTAACCGGCGGTACAAGGGACGCTGAGGTGGTGGGAATCATCAGAATTTCTTGCAAGACGGCCAAAAGTCTTTTCCTTCATGATAAAAAAGAGACACTTTAATGAAGTCTTGTGCATCACTCATTATTTGGGAAAAAATACTAATTCAGTTGTTTAAAAAATATTATTGATTTTGAACGTTATGATGATGATTTTTTAATTCCAAAGACATATAATCAACTGGTCTGGTCTGATAATACAAAGAATACGCCCCTGTTTGATTGGTGAAAAGAGGGGACTCGCTGATCCTCAACATCCATTTGAATGAATCAGCTCGGATGGGGAATGGCTTATGACATCATTCTTCTCTCCATTTTATCCTCACAACAGCCAGCCTGCGAGGTGGGCAAGACTGAGAGTGAGTGGCCCACGGTCACCCTGCAGACCTCCATGGTGGAGCAAGGATTCTAACCCAAGGCTTCCGGATCCTAGACTGACACTGACCACTACACCACACTGTCTCACACAAAACATTGTCCTGACTGGTTTAATAGTGGTTTGGTTCCCTTCCAATGAACCACCCCAGCACCACTCACGAAATGGTTCAAAACAGAAACGACAATGGCTTCGGCTGGCAGGGGGGTTGGGGGGGGGGGGAGACCGAGTATGTGTTGCAAGAAAAGGCTGAAGAGTCTGGAACTTTCCAGTTTAGAAAGGAGACAACGGGGGGGGGGGGCCCGCCATGATCGTGATTTATAACATGATGCATGGGGTGGAGACAATTGACATGGGGTGGAGACAAGTTGACAAAGATAACTTTTTCTCCCTCTGCCAAAATACTAGAACTGGAGGGCATCCAATGAAGCTGATGGGGAGTAGGTTCAGGACAGAGAAACAGAAATACTACTTTACACAGAGAGTGATTAAAAGGTGGAATTTGCTGCCAGAGGATGCAGTGATGGCCACAGCAATGAACAGCTTTAAAGGGGGATTAGACAGATTCATGGAGGAACAGTCTGTCAGCAGCTACTAGCCATGGTGGCGGAGAGGAACCTCCACATTCAGAGGGATCCCAGAACCAGGAGGCAACCTCAGGGGAAGGCCTCGGCCTCTCTGCCCTGTTGTTAGCTGTCCAGAAAAACCGTTTGGCCACTGTGTGAGACACGAGGCTGGCCTAGATGAACTATTGGTCTGATACAGCAGGGCTCATCTTATGTTCTTCATCACCTCTGGCATGGAACAGATACGGGGGACTTGAGAGGTTGCATGAGGGGGCACCGACACTGGCAGCAGAGGAGTGCTTTCCTGAATTTGGGGGGGCGGACAGGGGGGAGAGAATAGAAAAACGTTGCTGCTTTGTTGGCTAGCCTTGTTGGGGGTGTGTGTGACAAGACAGCTGATTGTTGTTCCAAGAGTGAGCGGCCAAAGATTCCTGGGAGAAGCTTCCCTGCCTTCACACTGCTGGTGGCCAAGAGCAAGCAATCAGTGTAATGAAGTCTTTCCGTTAGTCGGGTGCTGGGCAGGCCGGCGGAGATACCAGCCAGGCCTCTGGCAGGGAAGAGGGAGAAAGAGGAAAAACAGGTTGCTTACCAGTAACTGGTGATCTTCGAGTGGTCATCTGTGCATTCACACCAATGGGTTTAGTGCGCCTGCGCTGACCCGACCGGTGCTGTAGCAAGCTATGTTTCAAAGGATTTTCGCGCGAGTCCCACTGAGCATGCGCAGGAACCCCAGCGCGCATGCTCAGAGGGGACGGGCGCGGAGATCCCACCAGTTCCTTCAAAGCACCGCCGCCAATCAACACCTATCAAAAAATCAGGAGCTGACAGCAGAGGGGAAGGAGGGCGGGTGGTGTGAATGCACAGATGACCACTCGAAGATCACCAGTTACTGGTAAGCAACCTGTTTATCTTCTTCGTGGTCTCTGTGCTTCACACCAAGGGGAGACTAGGGAGCCATATCCTACCTGGAGGAGGGTGCTGGCAGGATGTTCATCGCTGGGCTGAAGACAAAACGTGACGGCCGATGCTGTCATTGGTGCGTCGGACGTCGAGGGCGTAGTGCCTGATAAATGTATTGGGCGTAGCCCACGTGGCAGCTTTGCAGATGTCATGTATTGGCACACCTTTCAGAAAAGCCGTAGATGTCGCGAGAGCCCTAGTGGAGTGAGCTCTGATGGGACCAGGCAACGGCTGTTTTGCCAGGAGGTAGCAAAGACGAACCAATTCCACTATCCACTTGGATAGACGCTGGGCTGTTATACGAGACCCCAGGCGAGGTGACGCATATGAAAGGAATAGATGGGGATCTTTCCTAGTTGGATGTGTCCTTTTCAGGTAGAACAAGAGAGCCCTCTTGACATCCAGTGTATGCAGTAATCTATCCTCAGCAGATACTGGATTTGGAAAGAAAGTCGGCAAGAAGACTTCAGCTTGCAGATGGAATTCGGAAATTACTTTAGGCAGGAACGAAATGTCCGGTACCAATCTGATTCCGTCAGGAAGTACGGAAAGGTAAGGGGCGTCGTGCCTGAACGCCAAAAGTTCTCCAACTCTCCTGGCCGACGTAATTGCAACCAAAAATGCTGTCTTCCACGCTAGGAGACGCAGTTCGCATGTGGCCAGAGGTTCAAAAGGCTTCCGTGTAAGTTGGCGCAGGACCAGGGGAAGGTCCCAAGGCACAGGCGGAGACTTGAGTGGAGGATAAAGGCGAAGTAAACCTTTCAGGAAGCGTTTGGTAACTGGATGGGTGAACAGTGAATAACCATCAACTGGAACATGAAAAGCTGACAATGCAGCCAAATAAACACGCAACGAGGAGTGGGAGAGCCCCGAGTCAGCGAGGGATAAAATAAATGAAAAAATTTTCTCCAGACCCGCAGTGGTTGCCCGGGAGGCATCAGCCCCAATAAAGGAGCAGAATTTAGTCCATTTCTGGGCGTAAGACCTGCGCGTGGACTGTTTCCTTGAATTCAAAAGGACATGCTCTATGCGAGCAGAGAATCCCTTGGAAGTATTCGCCACGCCGTCAGCTTCAGTGCTTTCACGTCGTGATGAAGCACCGGGGAGTTGTGGAGGTGAAGTAGGTCTGGAACGACAGGGAAGTGGTAGAAGGTTTTTCGGGACAGGTCGAGGAGGGTGGAAAACCAGGGTTGCCTGGGCCACCAGGGCGTTATTAGTATCACGTGTGCATTGTCCCTGAGGATCTTGCGCACCACCCTGAGGATCAGCGGAAGAGGGGGGAACATATAGAGGCGTTTCTGAGACCATGGGTACAGGAGACCGTCTCCTAATGACTGGGCATCGTACCCTCCTCTGCTGCAAAATAGACGACATGTGTTGTTTTGAGTCGTTGCAAAAACGTCGACTTGGGGAGTGCCCCACAACTGGAAAACTGGGAGCAGGTAATGTGGTCGTATTCCCCACTCGTGAAGACTGAGGCCAGAGCGGCTGAGATGATCTGCCTCTATATTCTGCTCTCCCGGTATGTGAGTTGCCACCAGGAAAACTTCGTTGGCTGTGCAGAATTCCCACAGATGTAGAGCTAGTTTGCATAGACGCCTGGAAACCGTCCCGCCTTGGCGATTTATGTAAGACATTGCCGTAGTATTGTCGGTCAGAATATTGACGCATTTCCCTCTGAGTAGAGGGAGGAAGCTGGTCACTGCATTTTGAACAGCCAGGAGTTCCAGGTAGTTGATATGGTTTTTTCGTAGACTGTGATCCCATGTGCCCCCTATGGAGCATCCCATGGAATGAGCGCCCCAACCAGTCATGGAAGCGTCGGTAGTAAGGACGATTTCCGGGGAAGGGAGGTGAAACGGGGCCCCTTGTAGGAGGTTGGAAGGCACAGTCCACCAGCGGACGGCGTCTCTGACGTAGGATGGGGGAGAGAGGATGACGGCACGTGCCTCCATGTGCGGCTTGTACGATTGGAGGAACCAGAGTTGTAGTTTCCTCATTTTGAGTCTCGCAAACAGTAGCACTGCATTCGTTGCAGCCATGAGCCCTAGAAGCCTCTGGACGTCGTAGGCCGTGACGGTGGGCTGTGTGCACACCCGACAAGCCAGAGCGATTATGTCTTCTGCCCTGTCCGGGGGAAGATAGGCCATGCAGTCTTGGGAGTCGAGTATCGCTCCTATATATTGGATACGCTGGACTGGGGAAAAATGGGACTTGGACGGATTGACTTGAAGGCCCAGTTCGGACAGCAGGGACAATGTGAAGGAGACGTTGGCTTCTAGTATCTGTCTTGACGACGCGACGACCAGCCAATCGTCGATGTAAGGATACACCGAAATCCCCTGGAGCCTCAGGAAGGCCGCGACCACGACCATGGTCTTTGTAAACACCCGTGGGGCACACGACAGTCCGAACGGGAGGGCAGTATACTGAAAATGCTCCCGGCCTATCGCAAACCGAAGGTATTGACGGTGGAAAGGGTGGATTGAAAGATGAAAATAGGCGTCCTGAAGATCCAGGGTAGCCATCCACACATCTTGGCGGAGCAACGGCATGATTTGCTGAAGTGATGTCATGCGGAAACGTCTGTACGCCACATAGAGGTTTAGGCCACGGAGATCCAGGATGGGCCGCAACCCTCCGTCCCGTTTTGGGACAGTAAAATATCGGGAGTAAAACCCCTTCCCTTGGAGGTGTAGGGGCACAGGTTCTATAGCCCCTTTCTGCAGAAGGAGGGAAACCTCCCGAAGGAGGGGTTGGGAGGGAGGTGTACGGACGAAGACTGGTATTTCGGGGTTCTGCTGGAATTGAATCCTGTATCCATTGGTCAAGATGGAGAGGACCCATTGGTCGGAGGTAATAGTACGCCATACATGGAGGAATGGAGAGAGACGGGTCAAAACAAGGCTGGGAGCTGACTCGGGGATAAGGAAGTCAAAAACCCTGCTTGGAGGGTTGTTTAGGTTGTTTGGCACGAGGTTGTTGCTGAGTCGTGCCGAATCTTGGCTTTTGGTAGGTCTGCCTCTGGGATCCGGAGTAATTCCTAGGGCGCCATCTAGGTTCTGGAGATTGGTGCGTCTGATTTCGCCGTTGCCACGGCCTTGGCCATGTGCGGGACCGCTGTGGCTGTCTATTTGAAGAAGACACTCCCAGAGCCCTGGAAGCCTTAATGCTCTTGTCAAGCTCTTGGAGGGAGGTATCGGTGTTGGAATGGAACAAACCGAGACCATCAAAAGGCATGTCTTCAACTTGTGACCTAGTGTCAAAAGGAAGGGCAGTACTTCGAAGCCACGAGTGGCGTCTCAATGCAATGGCGGAAGTCATAGTGCGTGAAGAAGCTTCCAGAACATGCTTAGATGTCGTAAGCTGCTGTTTCGCCACTATGCTGGGGGTCCTGCGCATGCTCAGTGGGACTCGCGCGAAAATCCTTTGAAACATAGCTTGCTACAGCACCGGTCGGGTCAGCGCAGGCGCACTAAACCCATTGGTGTGAAGCACAGAGACCACGAAGAAGATCGGGGCTTAAGCCAGGATTCACCCATCATCTGGAAACCAAATCCCAGTTTCACAATCTAACCACAGTTAAAATAAACCAGGGTTTTTGCATGGCATCTGAACCAACCCAGTAAGTACGATTTGGACATCTGAGTCAAGTTACATTTGTAAGCCGTGCAGCCTTCAGAAATCATACCTGTAACGTATTACATATTTGGTGGACTCCTGGCACAAGGATGCAACCCTTCCTTAACCCCCTAAAGCAGAGGTGTCAAACTCACTTGTGACGAGGGCTGGATCTGACATAAATGTCACTTTGTCAGGGTGGGGCCACATGTGCCATCAAATGTAACACCAGGTACCAGAGATATTTTACCACTGACTGTATGTCAGCTAGCTGCCATTGTCATTCCGGTTCCTGTGTAGTTCCCTTCAGCCCTCCCTCTCTTTCCTTGTTTCTTCAGTATGTTATGTTATGTAGTCCGCGGAACTTGCCAAGGTCGTGCAGTTGGGTGTAGGGGGAGAGCTTTGCCTAGAATGTTTTGGGTATCTTGCATGTGAACTGAACCTGTGTTGACATTTCAGAACGGTTGCGTTCCCATGCATTGGGCGCGAACTGTATGGTCTATTCCCGCCAGCGGGAATTGGACCCATTGGTCCTTCCCTGGTTCAAATGTCTTTATTATGCCTTCCCTGGTTACCTGTAGTTATTCCTAACAATGTCCTGTTCTGGTTACACCAACGCTTTGAAATAAACCTTACTTGCTTTGCAACGTGGAGTTGTTTTTTATGCTTGGGACCCAACACTGTGACCCATCCCCCTCCTCAGCAGAACTCGGGGCCAAACCCACTCTCCTCGCCCCTTATGGTTGCCAACTCTGGGTTAGGCATTCCCTGGAGATCTGGGGGAAGATCCTGCGTTTGGGGAAGGGAGGGACCTCAGCAGGGGGTATAAAATACCCCAATATAGTCCCGGTCCTCATTTGGACTGGTTTCTCCCCAGGTGCTTGCGGGCCAGATAAGAGCCCTGGAAGGCCCGTTCTGGCCCCTGGGCCATAAGTTTGACATGTCTCCTCTCGAGGATTACATTAAAATGAGTCAATTTTATCAGTCAACACTGCGGCCATATTAATTCCGACTGAAGCTGAATTTTGATACAAGATGAAGAGGCAAGGACACTGAATGCGATACGCTTTGAGCAGAGCTACTTCATATTTCCTAAAGCCATTTCAGACCAATTAGCTAATGCAGGACCTGTTTCGATGGAAACGAGGAAGAGCGGGCCACAAAGACCCATTCAGAAGAATGACAAAAAACATCAGTGTCTGCCGCCGCCGCCGCTGAGCTCCAGTTACCTTCCTCCCTCCTCCGTGGTATCCATACAGCCGATCAGAAGAATCAGCTGCCGACCTATAAATTCTTTGGCCATCAGGTGTTCTATACAGGTCATGTCCTCCTTTTCGTCTGGACTGAGAACCGGCATATTCTGAAGGTAACTAAATTAAGAACGAGTGGTTATTTATTTAGTGGGATCGTCTGAGCGATGCCTTTCTGCCCCCCCACCCCCCAAATAATCAGAGACAGGCTGGCCGTTTACCTGGTCTGCTGGCTGCCAGCTCAGGCTCCTCTGCAGCTGCCCGTGCTTCAAGAGGAGGCACCACCAGGAGAGCCCCTCCCCACAGCCAGGGCGGCCTGCAATGCCCGCAGAGCAGGTCAGGAGAGGCAGCCACTGTCCTCATGCCCAGACCGCCCCGCTCCTGTTCCGCATGAGGAGGGCAAGGGAGGCACAAGGTGAGGCAGCAGAGGCTGACGCTGTTGCTCTAGGACAACCCTCCTCTGGTGAGAAAGAGGCTACGAGGAAGGACCCCATTACATGAGCCCATTGGGCGATGCAGGCTCCAGGGGCCATTTTGGTCTCCCAGTCCACCCCCTGCTACAGATCCTAGATTAACTTTACTGGGCCGGAGGTCAACAACTAACACCATTGACTCAGTCCTGCCTAGGTAACCAATGCTGCCTCAAATCTCCACAGATTCCCACTGGACTCAGACTTAGTTCTCACATCTGTTGTTACCTCCTTTATTAGCTGTATGCCAACCTGCTGCTATTTACATGTCTTACCAAATGTGTTATTCCAGTCTTAGCTGTATTTATTGCTCACTTGTGCATCTTGACTCTAATCAGCTCTTCCTGGCAACATGTAATATTTGAGGAAATCTGCTTCTTTGTATCTGTAGGAGTGTACATCTACACACGCTAAGTCTCTCAGTTCTCGCTTATACCCAGAATCTCCAGTAGACTCAGGAAGAGGAGGAGCTGCTTTCTTGTGCAATTGAGGCCAAGACACTTTGGTGGAGGGGATCGTGGGAGCTCAGGAGTTCTGGGCCGCAGCGGGCTATGCTGATCTACGCTAATTTCGGCATCACCCCCTCAATTCCTATATGTAATGATTGAAGTAATTCTGTTTCAATGTATCTGAGGAAGTGTACGTGCCCATGAAAGCTCACACCTTGAATAAAACTTTGTTGGTCTTAAAGGTGCCCCCACTAGACTCTAACTTTGTTCTGCTGCTTCAGACTGACACGGCTACCTGCCTGGATCACAGTACTCCACACAGTACTACATGCTGCAGCAGTGACGTCTTATGCTGCCTTAGTTTCTAAATGAGTTCTCTTAAAAGAAATCCCTGAGCCTTGCAAAACCACTTGGGAGTTTGAAAAAATCCCTCAGATGAGCCTTCCAAAACCTTTACCCACCCTGCCTGTACCGGAAGAGCCTCTCTCAAACTGATCCAGTGCTTTTAACACCACTTTGCCCAACTTTGCTGTTTCGGCATCTTCCTCCTTTAGAAGCATTTTGGAAAGCAAGCTGAAGGGCTGGTTTTTCACAGAAGAGGACAGCAATCCAGTAAACTCAGCTGCAAGGAAGAACGATAACTACCCAAGGAAAAGCAGAGTGAGCTTATCTATAATTTTGTGACTTAACAAACGCATGAATTTACCTTAACACATAATCTGCGTAGACAGCAGGTTCTGGCAGAAGGTGCTCTAAAAACTCCTCTCCTTCTTCTCCTTTGGATTTTAGGTACTCACAAAGAGCCCTCCAGAATAAAGCATTCTCAACAGTTAGTTTCTCTACTGGAATTACTTTCCTTTAAAAAGCAAATAAATAAATAAAAATCACCTCACCATGCACATATTTCACATTATCACCAAGGGAAAACACACAGTCAAGTTTCATTTTACCAGTTAAGAAGCAGCGATTTTTAGAAGGAAGTCAGTGCATTTGTGAAATCCAAGATTCACTTTACAATTCAGAAACTGCAGAAGGGCTAATAAGCTGCTGAAATACGTTGCACTGTCTTCTCAACCTTAATGAACTATGGACAAGAGGAGGTTGACGGGTCTGTCTTTAAATATCTGAAACGCTGTCACTTAGAGGAGGGCAGGGAGCTGTTCCTGTTAGCAGCAGAGGACAGGACTTGCAATAATGGGTTTAAATTAAAGGGTGGAAAAATACTGGTTGGATATTAGGATTTTTATTTTTTTTACAGTAATAGTAGTTTGGCAGTTGAACCAGCTGCCTAGGGAGGTGGTGAGCGCCACCTCACTGGCAGTCTTCAAGCAGTGGCTGGATAAACAGTCGTCGGGATTGTTTTCAGCTGATCCTGCACTGATCAGGGAGTTGGGCTAGATGGCCTGTAGGGCCCCTTCCAAGTCTATGATTCTATGCCAAAGATGGCGGTACTGAAACAGTCACTTAAGGCACAGATGTTCCCATTTCTGCTACCACAGAGTTACCAGCAAGAACATTTCATTTAAGCAAAGGACTAGGATGCTCATTCAAAATATTTCCAGTGCTACATGGTAACAGTCTGCAGGCTCAAAGGCCCCTACATCACTAAGCATGATCACCCCATTTATTCCCAGTTAAGGAAATTTCAATATAAACTATATCGCATACACAGGCGCGCGCACAAGCCAGTTCCCAGTTTGTTTGTTTGTTTGTTATTTTTTGCTATTTGTATCCCACCCTACTCTGCAAGCGGGTTCAGGGTGGCTCACATCACATCATCCAAGACAATTTGAAACATCAGTAATCGACATCATATAAATAAGATTAACATTTAAATAAATGATCTAAGTTCCTAACTGAGAGTTAGGCAATTGGTGTCATTCAATGTACATTTGTCCCCATGCTAGAAAAGCGATGCATCAGGGTGGATTAAGCTGAGCGCCAATAATATGAAAGTGCCACGGGCGGTTGATGCAGGGGAGACCAATGATATTTGACGTCTGCTGCCTCAACCAAAGGCCTGGAGGAACAGCTCCGTTTTACAGGCCCTGCAGCATTGCAACAAATCCCGCAGGGCCCTGAGCTCAATTGGTAGCATGTTCCACCAGGCAGGGGCCAGGGCCGAAAAAGACCTGGCCAAGGCAAGACGGATGTCTTTCGGGCTGGGGGACTACAAGGCGGTGCTGGTCAGCGAAGAGCAAGACTCTGCCGGGGCATATATGGGGAGAGGCAGTTTTTTTAAAAAAAAATCTTCTATTACAATTCATACATATAACTATATTTACAAAGATGAAATGAAAAATGAAAAACAATAGCAATATACCATAACCGGTAAATTCACTCAACTTTTGAATGGATAAATGCCATATTGATTCAGGTTGCTGTACAACTTTCCCATTTCTGTGAAGTCTGAGCCTAAGATTCCAGAAAACAAATCCTCTAAACAGCCAAGTTCTCTCCCTCCATTTGCTCCTTAACCCCTCTCAACTTGAGAGAGAGTCTTCTACTTTCATTGTCTAGTTCTTCCAATGTATTTAGTTCAATAATTTTGTCATTTCTATGGCTAATAACCTTATTAACAGTACTTTTTGTTTTGAATATCTCAGATTTATTCCATTCAGGTCCTTCAATTCTTTTCAACTCTATAGGATTCTTTTCCCCATTAAATTGAATTCTTTTTTATGGATTCCACATTACTAATACCATTACTGACTTTTCAAACTTTATTATTTTTTCTTCAGATGTATTGAATTCAGTTTTAAGATATATATATCTCAGCTACTTATACCTAAACTTATATAACAAAGCTACAGCATTTAAACTCAAAGAAAAGTCTACAAATACCACCACAATTATTTTAGAACATTACCAATAACTTACACTTTATTAGTAGCTAGAACTATCACCACAGACTAGAAACTGGGGAGTACTAGGAAGGAAACTGAAAACAAATCAGATAGTACCATAAAACCCCTGAATAAATCTATGGTGCGGCCTCATTTGGAATACTGTGTACAGTTCTGGTCACTGCACCTAAAAAAAGATATTATAGCATTTGAAAAGCTGGAGAAAAGGGTGACTAACATGATTAATGTGATGAAATACTTTCCATAGAAAGAAAAGTTAAAGCTAGGCCTCTTTAGCTTGGAGAAAAGACTGAGGGGGTGACATAATAGAGGTTTACAAAATTATGCCTGGGATAGAGAAGGTAGAGAAAGACGTACTTTTTTCCCTCTCTCACAATACAAGAACTCGTGGGAACTCAATGAAATTAATGAGCAGTAAGCTTCAAACAGATAAAAGGAAGTATTTCTTCACCTGAAGAGTAATTAATGTGTGGAAATCACTGCCACAGAAAGTGGTGGCGGCTACAAGCATAGACAGCTTAAACAGGGGACTGGATAAACATATGGAGCAGAGGTCCATCTATGGCTATTAGCCACAAGATCTAGGTAGAAGACTCTGTCTGCGGCAAGTAATGCTCTGTCTTCTTGGTGCTTGGGGGGGGTCAACAGTGGGGCTTCTGGCCCCACTGGTGGACCTCCTGATGGCACCTGGGTTTTGGCCACTGTGTACAGAGTGTTGACTGGATGGGCCATTGGCCTGATCCAACATGGCCTCTCTTATGTTTTTAAACAAGGAAGTTAGCAGTTTAGTTAAAGGCAGGTGAAGAACAAGATCTCAGTACAGCTAACAATCACCTCTCTGAAGGAGAGAAAAAACAAAAAAAGGTCAGCGGTTCAGATTTTGGTTCGTGCCAAAATGTGATAACCCACTGGTGTCACACTTACGGTGTCGCCCGTGGCACGGCACAGGCTGCTGCTTGGAGATGTAGCTGAGGTGCCAGAAATGTGCCTCAGAGTGCAGTCCAGGTAGGCTGCGCTTCGACCTAAGCCAGTTCCCAAAGCTGTCCCACTCAGTTTACACTTGAGCGTGACTGAGATCACCAGTGGGGTAGTACAGCTGCTCAGCTTCAACAGAACAGAGCAAGAGGGCTACAGTCTAAGACGCGGGTGAGGAAGGAGCAAAGCTTAGTCCACTTCAGAACTGCTGCCTCATCCTCAGCAGTGCCCCTGCCCTCTTTTCTCACCTGCCATAGCAGCTCTGGGAGCATCTCCTCCCACAGGTACATTCTGTTCCCTTGGGGAGTGGCCGTGGCTCAGTGGAAGAGCATCTGCTTTGTATACAGAAGGTCCCAGGTTCAATCCCCGGGCCCTCCAGTTGAAGGGACCAGGTAGGAGCTGATGGGAAAGACCTTTCTCTGCCTGAGACCCTAGAGAGCCGCTGCCAGTCTTAGACAAGACTGACCTCGATGGACTGATGATCAGTGTTCCCTCTAAACTGAGTTAGTGTGAGCTAGCACACAGTTTTTTTAGCCTCCGGCTCACAGATTTCGATCGTAGCTCAGGAAGGACGGCTCCAGAGCAAATTTAATTTATGCCATAGCCAAATCACTCCCTCACAGCTTTAATGCCAGTAGCTCACCAAGTAGAACTTTTGCTCGCAAGACTCCACAGCTTAGAGGGAGCATTGCTGGTGATCTGATTCAGTATAAGGCAGCTCCAATGGACAGGGCTATCCTCCTCCTCCTCCAGTGGCATTCACTTTGCCATCCTCTGTCCTAGCAAGTCTCGTATAGCCACTTACGACACTGATCATCTGTCCAGAGGCGCTCCCTGCTAGTTAACTGGATGCCTTTTGATCAATGCTATTTAAGATAGGCTAGGGAATCTTCTGCCCAGGAATTCCAGTTGCATTTTATTGATACCTGAAAAACTATTGCAATGCTGCTTGGAAATTCTTCAGCACAGCAACACTCAAATATGGGGTATTTCACAAGTACCTGGAATAATGCCCTGGACGTAGATCCCCATTTCCATCCAAAACACTTTAAATGTTTTAAATTGTTTCATCATACTATTATTTATTAACTCTTGACTTATTTTTAAGATTGTATTCTATTGGTTGATGTGAGCCGCCCTGAGCTTGCGTCTGGGAAGGGCGGGATAGAAATCGAAATAATAAATAAAATAAATAACAATCAAAATTAAATAAAAGTTAAGCAGGTGTTCTTGATTTACCTCGGTACAGTAAAGAACAGGACAAAGTTTGAGTCCAGTGGCACCTTTAAGAACCACAAAGTTTTATTCTGGGTATAAGCTTTCACAAAAGCTTATAACCAGAATAAAACTTTGTTGGTCTTAAAGGTGCCACTGGACACAAACTTCATTCTGCTGCTTCAGACCAACATGGCAACCCAATTGAACAATAAAGAACAATTCCGTTTTACCCAAGTTCAAAACACCCTGAAGTTAAAATCTGGATGCTGGCAAGCGGATTTTTTTTTTTTTGTCAGACTTACCTTTCACCGAGGTCTGAAAATTTTTTAATCAAGTCACTGCAGGGAGACAGTGAAAACATGGCATTGAGGGCTGAAACCCCTACATCGGGGCAACACTCCACATCCAGCCGATGAAGCAATTCCAAGGCGTTCCCCTCGGCCAGACGCAGCCAGGCCTGCAGAAGTTGCTTCTCCACTACTCCCTTTACGGCATCTGTTGAGCAGAGGAAATTCAGCTCAGAGTGGAACTGCCCCAAATGCTCCATTTAAGTATTTCTGCAGAGCACTGAACATTCCAGTGATTACCCAGTTGTGTCTTTTAAGAATAAATAAACAGTACACAAACACTTTACCAAAAAATGAGTATTTAACAAGCAAGGCTTCCTGAAATGGCTAATATTTTGCTTTGAAATGCCTTGTGCGTCTTATTCTGCTGTGCCTTCACTCCCTCTTCACATTGTTCCTAAATCCTGGCTCTCTGTAATGGACCCCTGCTTCTTCTCTGTGAGGCAGATTTTCCCAACAAAACACCGACTGACCAGCCTCTTAGTAGTGTATTTGAATGATAGAATTATAACTTTCTGCATGTTCCATCCTGTGACAGAGTATTTGGCTTTTGCCCAGGTCAGAGATTTACTGCAGCTCAGTAGGAGCCCTCTTACAAATCCCTTTGGAAATGGCACTTGACATGAAGTAAAGTTCAAGCAGAAAGGTTGATTTTATTGAACAGGCACAGTTGGTTTAAGAATAGGCAGGGCATGAGAAAACTGAGGTAAATTTTGCTGTATTTACGAATGATATTTTGAACAGGAAACAGAGTATAGTTGAAGCTTATCTTCTTAGAGACTCGGTTTTTAACTGAGAGGTTTGTTTGTTTTGGAGATTTCTTTCAGCGATACTGCGTCTTTCATAAAGTTTCATAAAACTATCTTAGTTTCCAGGAAGTTAGTACTTTCTTCCTGTATTTAAATACTTCCCTTGTGGGATTATAACTTTCCCTTTTTTTCCCCTCTTGAGGAGTCTAAGACCATTTCCCTTTTCACACAAACCAGGGGAACCTTCTGAGTTGAACCTTCTGAAAAACTGGGTAAGAAATATACTCTTTCTAGGAGCGATAATACTTTTCTGTTTGGCTAGACTGGCAGTTTTCAACCTTCTCTGTCAAACCTAAACTCCAGTTCTGGAGACCGTGAATAAATAGAATTCAGACAGGAATTCAGACACTTAGACTTTTAAGTTCTGATTTCTGAAGTTTTCCTCAATTGTGTTGGTACACAATAAGGGCAAGGAGTTGTGTCCCTTCATTTCTCAAGTGACTTGTCTGTTTCTCTCAGACTGACACACACACACTCCTCCTGACTGGCAACTGCCAAGCCAAAGTCCAAACTAACTCCCTCTGACCAGACTGACAAGACTTGTTAAAACTCTCCTCAGTTGGCACTGACCAGTCAGAGAGAAGGGGGGGGGTGCGTGCAGGCGGCAGCCTGTCAATCAAACTGGGCTTTACAGTGAAGCATTAACCCCTAGTCTCCCAGTTCTCCACTTTTGATGCACTAAGCATCCTGCTTTTCGAGGTCAGTTTGTCACACTCTCTCTTACATGACTTGCAAGATGCTGCCCATTTTCACTGGCTAACTTCCAACATGTTTCCAGAGGATTTTAACTAGTGGTAATGGCTTTGCTTGTTTTTATACTGGTTCCCTGTATTTTACACACTTTTTGAGATTGCTGTCATCTGCGTTACTGTAACCTGACTGGGGCAATTTGTTGGGAAAGCTGGGATAAGAATGTATTCAGTAAAATAAACTGTGTGGTAGGAAAGAGGTCTAGGCCTGGGAAAGAGCTGGATTCTGGCAGAAAATATGCATTTTGTCAATAACATGGTGGGCATACACAAAGTCTCACATAAGGAACATTAGCAAATATTGCAGCCTGCACATGTCTGTGTTTAATCAAAAGAACATCCAACTGGTTTCAGTGACACAGTCTCAAGCAGACATGCACAAAATATCAATATGTGGTCTTGTTTCAATGTATCTGAAGAAGTATGCATGGACATGAAAGTTCATACCCAGAATTAAACTTTGTTGGTCTTAATGATGCCACTGATCTGACCTAAACCACCCCCTGCCCCTGTGGACAGTCTGTTAGGGTCAGTCACAACAATCACACAGGGTTCTACAAGCCTGAGGAAACCTTCAGGTATGCAGAAAAATCTTACTGTCAAAAAATTATTTGGAGGCAACAGTGTTAAAAAAAGCAACCTCTGCATATGAACATGTCACAAAATGTTTGATTCTAGGCACATAAACACATGAAACTACCCTGTATTGAATCAGACCACTGGTCCACAACAGTCTGTATTGTCTATTCAAACTGGCAGCTAGGGTTGTGCACACACACACAAAAATATAATGGTATTTTTCAGGTTCGGGTGTATTGAACCCCAAAAATATTGGTATTTCCTAATGTTCCTGAATACCAATATTCTGATTCGGAAAATTACTGGGATTGCCAATTTTTTGGGCTTGGCATTTAAAGGGACGATCCCTTCAAATGTGTTAGGCTTTTCCTACCCCGTGGTTTAAACCACCGGCCAGGAGAAGCTGGCCTCAAGGTTTGCGTGCGGCAGAAGGTCTTTCCCCGCCACACACAGCCCTGGCTGGGAGGTTTCTCCTGCCCTGCAATTTAAACCACGGGCCAGAAGCTGCGATTTGGTATTGCCGTGCCAAGCCAAATAAAAGCCAAATAATATTGGCTTTTATCTAGATTCTCTATACTGGTAGCCAATTACAGATTAGAGAATCCCATTCAGTTTAGGAAATACCCCGAAAATACTGATAAGGTCTGTTTCAGGTATTTATTCGGCTTGGTAAATACCAAACTGCAGTGTCTCTCCAGGATCTCAGGCAGGCAAATGAATGACTTTGGCTCAGTGGCAGAGCATCTGCTTGGCATGCAGAAAGTTCCAGATTCAATCCCCAGCATCTCCAGTTCAAAGGACCAGGGAGTAGGTGATGTGAAAGACCTCTGCCTGAGACCCCGGAGAGCTACTGCCAGTCTGAGTAGACAATACTGAATTTGATGGACCAAGGGTCTGATTTGGGATAAAGTAGCTTCATGTGCTCATAGCCCCTTTCACATCACCCGCTGCCTGATCCTTTAACTGGAGATGCCAGGAATTGTACCCAGGGCCTCCTGCATACCATGCAGATGCTCTACCACTAAGCTATAGCACCTCACGACTTTGGTCTGCCACAGCAACCCATAATGAAGCAGTGAAAATCACAGGGACGAGTTCATGACATCAACAGTGGGCCTGAGCAAGGGGAGGAAGAAACGAGGGCAAAGGGGGAATTGCGGTTTCTCTTCCCCCGTGATACTTTGTGGGTCCCCCCTGTTCATATTTTCAAGTAGCATCCAGGCAGCTCACTAGAACTAAAAACCTAAGAAACACTTGAAAAAGTAGATTAAAAAAGGCAGACAGCAACAAAATAAAAATTAAGAATCTCTCACCTGATCGATCATTAAGCCCTTGCTGCAGAAGTCTGACTCTCTGAGCTATTGTCAAAGCTTTCATATGAACCTTTTCGGCCAGAACCTTTTTTAAAAAAAACACACACAGAGGCCTCAGTGCTTGGTGAACAATTCATTTCTATAAACCAGAGCAAACAACTTTTAATGATATCTAGGCTCCTAGTAAAGGTGACTGACACTCTGTGTTCAAGACTTTTCAAGCATCTTTCCACAATATGAAATGCAATAGGTACTTCCCAGCTGCTGGGTCCAAATACACCACTGAAACTGTAGTTGATACTGGGCTGTCTGTCTCTCACGCACACATAACACCTCATCTGTATTTTGTTGCATAATTTGGGAATGGAAACAGGCCGAAAGTCAAAGGAAAGGGTCAAGAACCATTGAGGTTGGATCGTTTGTACTTGTTCCAAGGAGCCCCAACAAGTAGCTTCTCACTTCTGCCCCCACAACGTCAACTCCAAAACCTTCAGAGAACCATTCATTGATAACCCCCATGTTCTCCTTCAATGTCCCTTTTATTTGGTGCCCCGCCAGGATCTTTTGTACCCTACATTAGCTCAATTCTCAGAGATTCCTGACGATTTTAAGGTTCTGTTTTTACTTGATAATCCAGATACGGAAATAACAGAAATAGTAGCAAGGTTTCTTCTTAGTGCTATGGCGATACGCTCTGATAAGTAACCACCAGTGTTCCCTCTAAGCTGAGTTAGTGTGAGCTAGCTCACAGTTTTTTAGCCTCTGGCTCACAGTTTTTTGCCTTAACTCAGGAAGGATGGCTCCAGGGTAACCTAATTTATGCAGTAGCTACATCGCTTGCTCACAACTTTCATGCCAGTAGCTCACAAAGTAGAATTTTTGCTCACAAGACTCCACAGCTTAGAGGGAACATTGGTAACCACTAGGGTTTTTCTGTTTTTATGCTGTTTTCCTGCGCTGTAGCTCCAATTTTACCCTATATTGATTTGCATTTTCTGATCTATATTTAACCTGATCGCCTATTGTATGCATATACATATGCCAGTAAAGGCTTGTCAAAGCAATATATTAGTTGATAACTGGTTTTTGGCACAAGGCAAAATGTTTTACTCTTGCCACTCATTTTGCTGACATCCTTGGGGAAGAAGGAAGCTGCCACTGATATAGACAGGATATTTTTACAGCTGGATCAGGGCCACAGTATTTAGCAGTGAATAAACCGTGCTCTTGTAATGTCGATGGACAACTGAAAACATGGGGGGGGGGGGGGGGAGGCCCAAAACAAAATCCAACCATATAACCCTTTAAAATTGACTTAATGTCTTACCCCCGGCATACCTTGGGGCTATAAAACATGATTTCCAAAGCTGTTCTGACCAACAGCTCTGAATTCCCATGCAACCTGTCAGAGTTAAGGCACACACTTCCTCTTAAATAATAAATTTTAAAAAATAATAATACTTTTCCTGGTCCGCCGCCGCCACCAAAAAAGAAAGTAACTGCCAGCCTGGAGAGGAAACAGAGCATGAAGAAAGCAGAGTGTGTCTTGATACAGTGATTCTGAACAGTTGCCAGGGGGATGTTCTGATCAGAGCTGAGAAGTTCTGACCAAAATTTTTTCAAGACTCTTATGCCAAGCAGTCTCTACATGAAGATATTTTACCCTAGAGAGAATCTGACTGAGTTCTGCAGTTGTTCCGCTACATTTTCAAAAACTCTCAGTTATTGGCAGAAACCTGTTCACCTGGTATGCTAGTTTCCTGACTGCTTCTTTGACATCCATGGTACGGCCAACAATTTTGGACAGAGTTTTAGCTGACGGACCAATGCAGGACAACACGGCACGCCTGACTTCTGAATTGGAGTCACTCTCAATCAAACTGCAGTAAACTGAAAAGGAAAAGGTCTTGGTGTGCAGCTGGAAAACTAAACAATGCGACTTTTAAAAAAAGGGAAACAAAATGGGATCCTGACACACTTCGGAGTACTCATATTAGAAGAACTGTCCCTACAGTACTCAAGGATGCATCTGGGAGCCACGGCCAATCAGGACGTTCCAGCATGCTCTGCAAAAGTTCTGAAGACAAAGCATCTCTGTCCATCACATCTCACATACCTGCTATGTGAAACACTGAGGAACAGCAATATAGCAACAGCAAACAGGCTGCCATTTTTGGAAAATAGACTAAGTATACTGATGAATACCCATCTTGTATTAGGAAGACATAGAAGAAGAAGAGGTTGGATTTATACCCCGCCCTTCACTACCCAAAGGAGTCTCAGAGCGGCTTACAAACTCCTTTCCCTTCCCCTCCCCACAACAGACACCCTGTGAGGTAGGCGGGGCTGAGAGAGCTGTGACAGAAGCTGCTCTTTTTCAAGGACAGCTCTTATCAGAACTACAGCTTGCCCAAGGTCATCCAGCCAGGTGCAAGTGGAGGAGTGGGGAATCAAACCCGGTTCTCCCAGATTAGAGTCCGCGCACTTCACCACCACACCAAACTGGCTCATAAAAGCTGACCATGAGAACTGGGCCATGATGGCTTTTTGTTTCCTTTGAATTTAAAAGGCCAAAAATATCTTTGAGAGAGTTAGTTCTGAAATCTGAACACTAAATACTTTTAGCCAGGATTTTTATTTGCATCTTATAGATCTAAAGGCCCAGGGGGAAAAACAGAAAATACCCAGCCTCTTCCCCAAGGACCCCCCCCCTTCAGTTTTTCTGTTGGAGACTGTTTCTGTCCAATGGAGAACAGGAGTGCTTTTTTTTGGGGGGGGGACTCCTATGGATTATTTTCTTCTTTGGAACAATGGAAATGGTTTTTCTCACTCTCAAAATGTAGAGCAAGAAAAGAAATCTGAATATTATTCAATTTGACCAAAAGGAAAACTGGGAAGTTTGGGGGAACACTGAAAAAATGTCTATGATTTTTTCCCCTCTTTTGGCCTAAGGGGAATGTTTTTTAAGGCAAAGTTTTATTTAAAATGTGTTGCAAGAACATTTTTATGCAAGATGATCTACAGCATTAGATATTGGTAATTCCTATATCTATTGTAGACATATACAACGTATTTTCAAGAATGTATTGTTTAAATATGAATAGTTTTGGCAACAACATAATATATTATTGAAGAGTTCAATGTTTGCAATGTTGTAACTATCCTGAGATTCAAAAATGCTAGTAATCCTACATACTGTGAATGTATAAGAGTGCTCCTGTCAAATTAATACATACAAATTAATACTTCAGAATTCGTTTCCTGCATTCAAATTTTTACTTTTTCCGACCTCTCAGATGGCAAGTTAAGATATCTGTGCTAAGGTAGCATAGAGTGCAGCTACCTTAGTTTGCAACTCTCTCAAGTATTCAGTATATTTTTCTTATAGAAAACAATATTTACCATTTTAAATTCCATACATTTTCCAAATTGTACAATTTTAAACTTGAAAAATTAACAACTGATTTCAGTGAAACTTTTTAAAAAGAATCTCAACAGTTTAAAGGCACACCACTGAATGAAAGATCAACAACATACCATTAACTACAGGGCAATCACTGTCCTTCGGATCTTGAAGTCTGGCCAGTGCCAGCACAGCTTGGATTCTCACATTCGGAACACGGTCTTTCACTCGAACTAGCATGGCACTGTTAATTTTATCAAACAGCTCATCTTCAATCTGAGCGTTCTCTGGAAGGCTCCCCAGAAGTTTATTAATGAGCTGGCACACTCGAAATCTAACTCCTTTGCTGTTAGCGTTATGACACTTCAAACAAGAAGAAGAAAAAAGGAGGGAGACCAGAAGGACATCTTTACCATTGCTTTCCTGTTCATGAGTTTTCATTATTTATAAATATGTATTCCGTGTGTGTGTGTGTAAAAATTCCTTAGGTCCACATTTAATATGAATTTACATCTCTTAATACCAAATTTGATCTTGATGTGGATAGCCCAGGCTACCTCAATCTCATCAGATCCTGGAAGCGAAGCAGGGCCAGCCCTGACTAGTATTTGGATGAGATTTCTCCAAGGAATACCAGGGTGGTGACACGGAGGCCGGTAACGGCAAACCACCGCTGAACATCTCTTGCCTTCAAAACTCTATGGGGTTGCCATAAGTCAGCTCTGACTTGATAGCAAAAAAATAATACTCAAATTTACTCATCGATTGGGGGGGGGGATCTCAATTTTTCTAAACTACTGTCTTGACAGAGATAAGCTTAGGAGACATAAACTAGAGGTGCTAAACACATGTGCCTCTGTTCCTAAAGCTGCTACCTAAACATAGCAGCTACAGCTACTGCACACTAATATGCAATACCACTCAGTGAATGCACTAAGAGTCCCCAGTCACCGGGGTTCACTACAGAACTCCTGGTCAAAGTAATAGTCATTCATAATGGAAGTTCTGATAGAGGGTTGGGTGCCAATCAGTTTATGCCTATGCTTTTCTTCTGGGGGGAGGGGAGAGCGAACATTCTATCCTAAGTGATGTTATCCAATAATACTGAATACTGAGTTTACATTACTGTTAAGAACACAATGTAAGAACATATATACCATTTCTAAGCAGATTCATATAACATCTGTTGGCTAATAATGTCACAAAGGGAAATGATCTTCCCACTGCTGGTTTTAGGACTGTACTGTTTAAGGTACCTCAAGAAGAAAGTTGAACAAATAATTCAGGAACGAATTTTCCACTTCCTCCTCCTCCTCTTTGTCTTCAATGGCATCTTTCTCGGGCTCATAGAAGCAAACCAAAAACTTGGCCACAAAATTGATCACTTGTTCTACTGCAGGTTCCCGTTTGTAGATTATCATGACATACTTAAGGTAATGAACAAACTCCTTGTGAAAATGGATCTTGTCCTGCAACTAGAAGTAACGTTTACACAGTGAGCAACACAAGCTCACCAGCCCAAACAGACATGGATTAGAGGAGGCACCAGTTGGTACAGGGCAGACCCAAATGATGTTAATGATCCATCAACGTGACATCAAATGATACTCTTCCATCAAGCAAAACCTTGCTTCCTGTTGAGGGATTCTACTCTTTTGTGAGTACTGGGAAAACCCAAGCTGTGGCTCAAATTCTGAAATATTCAACCCATGATGAGACCCAAATTGTGTTGCTGGTTCCTAAATAACAAATGCTGATGCCTAAGAATTTGATACTTGTTTGCAGTGTCTTACAGGACACTAGCAACACAATCCCACACAGGGCTGTTCCAGAAGACTAAGACTACAGATTTCTGTGGGCTTAGGCTGGAGCAATTCTGCAGTGCACAAAAATGCAATCGATGCTGTGTTAATAGGAATGCTTTTACTCTTAGACACAACTCAGATCAGAGTCAGCAGAAAGCCATACTCTAACACATCCACTATGTGATGGATTAATGACCCAAAGTTTGATCTCCCTGAAAGACTGATGTAATGTGGCCCACCTGCTTCTAGAATTCATTAGCATATTATCAAACAGGTTAGATTTTGCTGAAATGTGAAAGATTACCTGTATGTTTACTCAAAGAACACTTTGGAAGTTCCTCCATTTTTTGAACATGTTATCCTGCTCCATACCAGATTACATCCCTCACCCGTCATCAAGCAGAAACAAGCAGATTTTCAAACGCCTTCTGCACACTGTTTATTTTAAGTACATTTTGAGGAATTCAACACATCAGTAAACAAGATCACCACCCTACATTAACAACACCACGCGTTTCTGGGCTAAGGTGGAAAGAGCAAGTTGAAAATTAGTTATTACAGTTTGCTCAAGGACAAGATGACCTAGAAAAGTAAACCCTGTGAGCTGACAAGAGCAGAACACACCTGAGAGGTTTAGCAGTCAGTTCTTCCGACACAAAAGGCTTCTTTCACCTCTGATCAACAGCTGCAGTTAAATATAAGCCCCAAGCAGACTCGAAGCAGTCACTCATTGAATAACCTATGGCAACTAAAAACACTGCCAGGAGATCAAGCCAGAAACATTTTGTAAAATGGAAGAGTTGGTTTTCTACTCCCACCATAAGTGACAAAAACATCTAATAATTTTTTTTTTAATCAATGACAAAATCAGACTTATGCAGGCGGGGGGACTAAAGTGTTTTTGCACATGACTCACCGTTCTAGACTTATGGCCCTGGGTCAAACCTCTTCTCAGCAGTGAGCGCACAAGGCAGACTTAGACAAGCCACAGTTCTTACAGTCTCAGCTCTCTGTACGTAACACGAGTACAACCCCTGGCCTACCTTGTACTTAGATAATTGTGAAGCACTTTGAACATCCAGGAAAAGTTATATAAAGGCTAAGTAGAACAAAGTTTGAGTCCAGTGGGGGCACCTTTCAGACCAACAAAGTTTTATTCAAGGTATAAGCTTTCGTGTGCACGCGCACTTCCTCAGACATGGTGACGTTGAACTTACCAGTCCATACATATAAGGCAAAGGTTGAACAGTGAATTAGCATGCAGTATAATGAAATGTTTTAACAGATGCAAAGAGGAATAACAAGCTAAATTTATAAGGTCTCCACAGTTTGGATTCAATTCGGGCAGGGGGGACAGTTAGGCAAATGAATATATCAAAATTGGCAATAGGTGTCTAAATGCATCCTTGTTAATTGTGGAGAGCTCAGAGGTTAAGACACTGAGCTGCCGACCGGAAGGTCGGTAGCTCAGCAGTTCGCGACCCAAGTGCTGCATGATGGAGTGAGCTCCCGTCTCTGACCCCAGCTCCTGCCAACCTAGCGGTTCAAAAGCAAGAAATCGCAAGTAGATAAATAGGTACCGCTTTGGTGGGAAGGTAACAGCGTTCTGTGAGCCTCGGCGTTTAGTCATGCCAGCCACATGACCATGGAGAAGTCTTTGGAAAACACTGGCTCTTCGGCTTGGAACCAGAGATGAGCACCACCCCCTAGAAGTGGATTTAACTGGCTTTCGAGCAAGGGAAACCTTTACCTTTAAGAGCAATCAGCCGAGACCCTGCTGCTCTCGCTTCATCCATCTCCTCTCAAGCATAGAAGGAAGAAACAGGAGAAGCAGAAGAGTTGGATTTATACCCTGCCGTTCACTTGGAGTCTCAGAGCGGCTTACAATCTCCTTCCTTTCCCCTCCCCACAACAGACATTCTGTGAGATAGGTGGGGCTGAGAGAGCTCTGAGAGAACAGCTTTGACAGAACTGTGACTGACCCATCTTAATGAACAATGCTGCTCACTTTTCAGCGTATGCTTCTATCTATAAGAAGGAAGGGAGAAAAAAAGGAAAACTAAAAAGAGAAAAAAAAGAAAAATGGTTCATTACTTATAGCACCCTGTCAAGAAAACCTCCTCTATCATCTGCAACCCATCCACAGACACTATATAGTGAATAGTCCATTTATTTAAATTCCAACATACTAATTTACTGAAAGATCAGTTTTTTTCCTATATCATAATAATGCTCATTTTTCTGCTTATTCTCTTCTAACCACCATATAACTGACCATTACATCAAATTATGCAAGTAGCTTATTATATTTCTGGTTCCTTATAACCTAAATAGCAGACCTGTAGATTCTTTATTTTAATGCTATTACTATTAAACACCTAGGAACACAATTATAATCATGTTTTCTCATATTATAGATACCATTTACATTACACTCAATCTCAATTACACTGAACCTCATTGATACTTCCCATATTCTGACTATAATTCTTTTTCGTAGCATCCTGTTATGTTAACATTAATACACCACATTTGCACTAAACATTGATTTATTTTTTCTTATTACATTTTTACCATCACACATGAGAAAATAACAACTCTGAGCCACAGATCATGTTGTTTGATTTTTCTGCAGCCTCTTTTTTTTGTGAATCATGTATTTTTCCCATTTCAATTTCAATGAACAAGTTTTCCAGCTTCCTACATATCTGGTCCCTTTCATTGGAAAGCATCCTGTGCCCTCTTTAGGGAAGCTGAACTATCACTCCATGAAATTCCTTGGAGGTCCCCTTCTGCCATTTCCAGCAGTAAAAAGTTCTTTACTAATTCCTTTGATTTGGCTGTTTGGTTGGTGGGTCCTTTAAGACTTTTCATAGGAAAGGGCGATGGTTTAGCTGTTCGTTTAGTAGGTCCTTTAAGACTTTTCATAGGAGAAGGCGATGCACCTTGAAGCACATTTCCTTGATGATGGTTCTGTTGATCAAAAAGGCTTTGCTGTTGCTGCCGCCACTCTTCTTTATTTTCCAAGTCCTTCGTGTAATAGTCCTGTTCGTCATCCACGGTATGCTGAGACTGCTGTAGTTCTTCCTTAATTTCCAAATCAACATGTGGGCTTAGAGGCTTCTCAATAAGATTTTCAAAGGCTCCCCTGACCGCTTGCTGGATTTCATCTAACAAAATCTTTTTAAATTGCTCCAGAGTAAGTTGCGACAACCTCTGTGCTCGCCATTTCCTCTGTCTCCTCCGCATCCATTTCCAACTCTATTTTCTTACCCCACAAACCACAGAGAACAATTGGCATTCAAACATCCATGCAGGGCAAATCAAAAATATAGTACAGGTATCACATTGATGTTGCTTCTAGTAATTATACATTATATATTCCATCATTTTCACAAATAGTATTATTTCTTTCTTTCCCCCTATAGATTACTCTGCAAATTTTTACTTCCGTTCTCAGAGTCACTGCTTTTCTTCAAAATTTAGGGAACGTTCGTAAAAGGAGGGATTTTAACGAAGGTCTTGACAGTTTGTTAGTAGAAGATACGCATACTCACATAATAATTCTTGCCTTGTCAAATGCTATGCTGAGAATTCAATACTCTAAAAGCAGAGGTCACAACTGTGACAAACATGGCAGCCATGTTTGCCTCCACTCCCCGCTCCTTCTTCAAGACAGTCTCAAGTTCACCCCACTGCCGCCGCTCGTGGGGCAACCGAACAAGTCTCCTGCTCCCCGACCTCCCTCCGAGAGGTTGGGCGGGGTCCGGTGCGGTCTCATAGACCCAGAAACCCCAAAAGAAAGCAAGGAAGGTCGGAGATGATCGGGAGATCCCGAACATCAACCGCGGCGCCACACCGTTACCGGAAGTTTCAGAGTCCACCGCTCTTAACCACTACACCAAACACAGCACTACAAATCACCCCACCTCAAAGAAAAAGATGTTATTAGTTTTCTCCATGTTCGAGAGTAGATGGATGGAGCATGACAGCAGGATCTCAAGATTACTGCTCTTAACACTCCACGATCAAGGAGGATACATTTATACATCTATCGCCAATTTTGACATATTTATTTGCCTGTTTACCCCCAAAATTAAATCCAAACAATGATGACCTTATAAACTTATCTTGTTATTCCTGTTTGCATCTCTTAAAACATGTCATTATATTGCATGTTAATGTATGAACTGATAAGCCCCATTTCACGGTGTCTAAGGAAGTGTGTGTGCGCACAAAAACTCATACATTGAATAAAACTTTGTTGGTCTTAAAGGTACCGCTAGATTCAAACTTTGTTCTACTGCTTCAGAGCAACATGGCTACCCACCTGGATCTATATAGGCTAAGTTATTTTTCTTACTATAAAACACATTGATATTAATTTAACATGGCTCAGCACTTGCAAATATATATGGAGACTGTGGTTTATTTACCTTATTGTATGTTCGCTTCAAAGATGTCACTAGCTTTCCATGACTCTGATGAGGTTTCTGAGCTTGCTCAAAGGCCTCCTTAATGCAGACTGTCTTTGTCATGGCTGTTAAGAGGTAGATAATTAAATAAAAATATGTGAGATCAGACCACTGTAAATACCCACAAACAGTCTACTTCACTACTTACCTGCTTCATCTTGCTCTAACACTCGGCCTTACTAGTCTTTTTTCTAACAAGTCTGTGATGCTTAATGCCAACCCTCTTAGTCATAATTTCATCCGAGGGCTAGTCAGTCACTACCAATAACAATAATGCTACCATACAGATATAAAACTTAGGGACATAACCAGATTACAGCAATTGCTGACAATTCTCCTACGTGGACACATTTCATCCTTCTCTGTGCTATCACCTGCTTTCTATACGTTCTAGCTGTTCATCTGTACAGAACTGATCCTTGTTCTAATGCTTGTCTGTCAGCTGTGTAAAACTGGTTGAACTGCACCATTTGTGTAATAGGGGAAGAGAACTTTCCATAATACTGTTGGTGTGAATTGTGAAATTCTGCAGGTTTTACAGTACAATCCTAAACAGAGTTACACCCTTCTAAATCCACATTGAAGGCAATGGGCATAACTCTGATTAGGGCCGCATTGTTAGAACTTTGGAAATGTGGTGCTATATGACCACTGAAACATATATCAATTTCTCAACCTGGCCTCATTGTGCAGATTTTTTTAATCTGCAAGGCAGGGTCACCACGTGGGCTGGAGGAATGTTTTTACAAACTTGAGATAACCCCCATGCCACGTTCGCAAGGAAAAATACCCATAAAGTTAGAAAAATGGAGAACCGGATACTAGTAAAAATATGTTTCACCGGACAAAGAACAGCGGAGTTCCTGGAAGACCTAGATCTCACAAGAACACCTCTACCTGGCACTAGAGATGTAAAATTTCCATAAATTTTGAAGCTCGGAAAAAACCTGGGTTTTTTTCTGTTTCCCCCCGAAAAAAATGGAAATTTTTGGAAAAATTGAAAAAAAATCTACATTAGCACTTCTTTTTTCTTTTCCAGATTGAAAGTCATTCTGTTACTTTAGGAACATAAAATATGACTATGGACATTTTTACTTGGCATGAAAGTATCACAAGTAGCATATTAAAAATATAGTGTATCCAAACAATGATTACAAACAGAATACCCACCCACATGCAAAAACAAAACTGAAACCTTCTTCTTTTCTTGTGACGGTAGCACCTCCTAAAGGAAGAAATGTATCTTGTTCTTGCATTAGAGAGTTCAGTTTGTAACCTAGGACTTGCTTGTCCTCAGTGCACAGAAATTAGATCAATCTGATACCAAACGTATTTTTTAGAAATGATTTGGAAAATATTAGAACACCTTGTCTTAAAATATTTTATTCATCATGTTAAAATAAAATGTTCCATAATCAATTTTTTTCTTTTTTTTTTTCCAGGAAAAAAACGTTTCCCCCCCGAAATTTTCCAGTTTTTTCCCAGGCCTCCACATCTCTACCTGGCAGGGATGACTGGCAGGGAATACTAACAGCCATTTGCCCACTACATGAAGCTGAGAGCTTGTCACTATAAAAAGTTGCTTGGGCAGCAGAGATGGACACTGAGATCTCAAGAGCTCAGTGTCCAGCTCCGTTGCCCAAGCAACTCTTTATAGCACTGGGGAAATGGCTGGTTGTATTCCCAGTCATCAGGTGCCAGGTAGTTTGCCTCATGCTTGGCAGAGGGCACTGGATCCTTCTGCAGATTGCCCCCAAACACAGTACAAGGCAGAGTCCTCATCATTGTGAGGGGTTGCTTCATTAACACACAATGCCATGGCGACAATAGTGAAGTTGTCGGGGAACTGGCAACTCTGCAAGCCCTAAGATAAGAAGGAAAAGTAAACATGGCTGCAGGGGGGGGGAACGGGGGGGGGGAATCAAAGACTCAGTGGGAAGAAGCTGAGACAGAGAAAGCAAAGGAAGAAGAAGAGATTGGATTTATACCCTGCCCTTCACTACCCAAAGGAGTCTCAGAGTGTAGGTGGGGCTGAGAGAGCTCTTTTGAGAACTGCTCATGAGAGAACAGCTCTGAAAGAACTTGTGACTGACCCAAGGTGGAAAAGTGGAGAATCAAACCCCGTTCTCCCAGATTAGAGTCCACCTCCTAACCACTACACCAAACTGGCTCTCGAGTGTAACCAGTGTGGCGGAGGGGACACCTCCACCACATCCCCCCCCCCCCAAACATTTTTAACAGCTCTGCAAGGAATCATACTTTCTAGAAAGAGAGGGGCCTATTTTCAAGTTAGGATTTTGGAACAGGTTTACCACTAGGGCTAACACATGTAAAATTTTATCCAGAACAATTTTCTCCAGAACAACCACTTACTCCATTCTCGTACATCAGGTAACTAATAAACAAACAGGGACAGGCTCAGATGGTAAGGAATTTAATACATTTCTTTAGACTTACTGAGAGTTGCTATAGAAACAGAATCAGCAGTTGATATAGGTTTAATTAGGAGTTAGCTGGGGGGATTATTGGTTGCACTTCTGCCTCAGTAAACTCCTAGTAGGTACCACTAGAGAAGGAGACTACACAGCAAAGCATCCCTGGGATAGTTTGAGATGGGTTATCCAGCCCTCCCCATCCCACCTAAATCACCACTAAGAGTTGCCAACCTCCAGGTATGACCTGGAATTCTCCTGGAACCACGATTAATCTTCAGACCACAAACAATGGTTGCCCTGGAGGATAACGGCAGCCTCTAAGAGTGGTCTCTGTGCAAGAATGCCAGCCTCCAGGGGGGACCTGGGGATTCCCTGGAACAACAGCTCATCTCCAGACTACAGAATTCAGTTCCCCTGGAGAAAACTGATACTATGGAGGGGGGACTCTGTGGCATTTGGAGGGCAGACCCTGTAGTGGGCAAGCCGTAGTTCTGATAAGAGCTGTTCTTGAAAAAGAGCTGGTTCCGTCAGAGTTCTCTCAGCCCCGCCGACCTCACAGGGTGTCTGTTGTGGGGAGGGGAAGGGAAAGGAGTTTGTAAGCCACTCTGAGACTCCTTCGGGTAGTGAAGGGCGGGGTATAAATCCAATCTCCTCCTCCTCTTCTTCTCCAGTCTGGTGTCGTGGTTAAGTGCGTGAACTCTAATCTGGGAGGACAGGGTTTGATTCCTCACTCCTCCACATGCAGCTGCTGGATGAAAAAGAGCAGTTTCTGTCAGCTCTCTCAGCCCCGCCTACCTCACAGGGTGTCTGTTGTGGGGTGGGGGAGGGAAAGGAGTTTGTAAACTGCTCTGAGACACATTTGGGTAGTGAAGTATAAATCCAATCTCCACCTCCTCCTCCTCAGGCTCCACCGCCAAATCTCCAGGACTTTCTCAACCTGGTGCTGGCACATACCTTTCCAATCCCCAAGCAGTCATGAGCCACCGTTGCTGAACATAGCCTACCTCACAGGACGGTTGTGAGGACAAGGCAGGAAGGAAGACGCACAAGCTTTTAGGGAGAGAAACTGGGAGCTAAACCAAAGGGGGGCATTTTTGCTAAAATTGTTACGGGCTATGGGATGCAGTTATATCTTTTTGCCAGCTTTTATTAAATAACAGATTCAGGGGGGGGGGTAGCCGTCTTGGTCTGAAGTGCGCGTGCGCACAAAAGCTTTGACCCAGAATGAAACTTCGCTGGCCTTAAAGGTGCCCCCGCTGGACTCGAACTTTATTAAAGAAGGCTGTGGATAAATTTTAAGGTTTTGTTTAAAAAAACAACACCACAGCACACAGGAACGGTGCTTCAAAGAGGGCGGGGAAAACACACCTCGGCCACACCCAGCCTTAAAAACCCAACCCGGCAGGCCGCTACGCTTCAGGAAGGCAACCAACCAGCGTAGAGGGGAAGGTGTTCGCCTTCAGCTTATTGGCTGTTCTTTATGCCAATCCACGACAATCAACAGCGGGCGCCGCGACAAGCCCCGCCCACGCCTTCAAAAGTGGAACCGGGCGCCGTGGGGAGACTTTCCTCCCAACAAACACCCTTTCCCGGCAGTCACCTGCGGCTCTCACCTGGGACCGCGTCGCCAGCTAGAAAGGGACCGAAACAGAAAGACGCTCCCGCGCTTCTCTCACTTCTGTCCGTCGCCGCCGCTGCTCCCGCTACGTCTTTTCGGTTCCCGCCTTTGCCTTCAAAAAAAGTCACCTCGACATGGAGCGGACCGGAAATCTCGCGAGACCTCGGAGGGAGGCTGAACCCGCGTGGGGAACGTCAGGTTCTGGGAAGGGGGGCGTGATGAATAATAAGCCCCAAGAGGAGCGTGGACGTCAGCAGTATGGGCGGAGCCTTTTCAACGCGGTTATGTCGCCAAGGAAACACTAACCGACGGTTTCCTGCGCATGTTTCAGTTCCGGCCCTGTTCTCACCGCGGATGAACGGGGTATTGTGTGTGGGTCTTCTGCCTTTTTTCATCTTATTTTTACTGGAAACGTAGGCGCGCGGACTCTAACCTGCGAGAGCCGGGTTCGATCCCCCCCCCTCCTCCACATGCAGCTGCTGGTGCGACCTTGGGTCACTCACAAGCAGTGGTCCTTCTAAGCTGAGTGAGTGTGAGCTGGCTCACAGTTTTTTAGCCTCTGGCTCACACCGCTATGTCTCAGCTCAGGAAGGAGGGCTCCAGAGCAGTGTTCCCTCTAAGCTGAGTGAGTGTGATGATCTAGCTCAGTTTGTTAGCCTCCAGCTCACACATTTTTGTCTTAGCTCAGGAAGGATGGCTCTAGAGCCAACTAATTTATGTAGCAGCCAAGTCACTTGCTCACAACTTTATTGCCCTAGCTCACAAAGCAGAATTTTTGCTCACAAGAATTCACAGCTTAGAGGGAGCATTGCTCCAGAGCAAACTGATTTATGCAGGAGCCAAATCGCTGGCTCACAACTTTTATGCCAGGAGTTCGCAAAGTAGAATTTTTGCTCACAGGACTCCACAGCTTAGAGGGAACATTGGTCACAAGTTCTCTCAGAGCTGTTCTCTCAGGAGCAGTCCTCCAAAGAGCTCCCTCAGCCCCGCCTACCTCCCAGGGTGTCTGT